TACGACCAACAGGCGTCATATGGGGAGCAAGGTACGACCAACAGGCGTCATATGGGGAGCAAGGTACGACCAACAGGCGTCATATGGGGAGCAAGGTACGACCAACAGGCGTCATATGGGGAGCAAGGTACGACCAACAGGCGTCATATGGGGAGCAAGGTACGACCAACAGGCGTCATATGGGGAGCAAGGTACGACCAACAGGCGTCATATGGGGAGCAAGGTACGACCAACAGGCGTCATATGGGGAGCAAGGTACGACCAACAGGCGTCATATGGGGAGCAAGGTACGACCAACAGGCGTCATATGGGGAGCAAGGTACGACCAACAGGCGTCATATGGGGAGCAAGGTACGACCAACAGGCGTCATATGGGGAGCAAGGTACGACCAACAGGCGTCATATGGGGAGCAAGGTACGACCAACAGGCGTCATATGGGGAGCAAGGTACGACCAACAGGCGTCATATGGGGAGCAAGGTACGACCAACAGGCGTCATATGGGGAGCAAGGTACGACCAACAGGCGTCATATGGGGAGCAAGGTACGACCAACAGGCGTCATATGGGGAGCAAGGTACGACCAACAGGCGTCATATGGGGAGCAAGGTACGACCAACAGGCGTCATATGGGAAGCAAGGCATAAGGGACGAAGCTCCTTCGCTGCCACTCAGCAGCATTGCCACGGTTACCTGTGATGTGAGCATACCTGTGATGTGACCACACTCAGCTGGCATGAGAGCCACACAACACACTCAGCTGGCATGAGAGCCACACAACACACTCGGCTGGCATGAGAGCCACACAACACACTCGGCTGGCATGAGAGCCACACAACACACTCAGCTGGCATGAGAGCCACACAACACACTCAGCTGGCATGAGAGCCACACAACACACTCAGCTGGCATGAGAACCACACAACACACTCAGCTGGCATGAGAGCCACACAACACACTCAGCTGGCATGAGAGCCACACAACACACTCAGCTGGCATGAGAGCCACACAACACACTCAGCTGGCATGAGAGCCACACAACACACTCAGCTGGCATGAGAGCCACACAACACACTCAGCTGGCATGAGAGCCACACAACACACTCGGCTGGCATGAGAGCCACACAACACACTCGGCTGGCATGAGAGCCACACAACACACTCGGCTGGCATGAGAGCCACACAACACACTCGGCTGGCATGAGAGCCACACAACACACTCGGCTGGCATGAGAGCCACACAACACACTCGGCTGGCATGAGAGCCACACAACACACTCAGCTGGCATGAGAGCCACACAACACACTCAGCTGGCATGAGAGCCACACAACACACTCAGCTGGCATGAGAGCCACACAACACACTCGGCTGGCATGAGAGCCACACAACACACTCAGCTGGCATGAGAGCCACACAACACACTCAGTTGGCATGAGAGCCACACAACACACTCAGTTGGCATGAGAGCCACACAACACACTCAGCTGCATGAGAGCCACACAACACACTCAGCTGGCATGAGAGCCACACAACACACTCAGCTGGCATGAGAGCCACCCAACACACTCAGCTGGCATGAGAGCCACCCAACACACTCAGCTGGCATGAGAGCCACACAACACACTCAGCTGGCATGAGAGCCACACAACACACTCAGCTGGCATGAGAGCCACACAACACACTCAGCTGGCATGAGAGCCACACAACACACTCAGCTGGCATGAGAGCCACACAACACACTCAGCTGGCATGAGAGCCACACAACACACTCAGCTGGCATGAGAGCCACACAACACACTCAGCTGGCATGAGAGCCACACAACACACTCAGCTGGCATGAGAGCCACACAACACACTCAGCTGGCATGAGAGCCACACAACACACTCAGCTGGCATGAGAGCCACACAACACACTCAGCTGGCATGAGAGCCACACAACACACTCAGCTGGCATGAGAGCCACACAACACACTCAGCTGAGGCGAGACGTTTGCCCAGCCAGGCACAGCGCCTCGGCTGGAGAGGTTCAGGGCGCGCTTTGCCTCGGCGGAAAGCTTGGCTAGACAGGGAGGTAGCTTGACCAGGTGCGAGGTGATATTTAAAATGTGAAATCCCTCATGGACCCTCACGGGCTGACCATAACCTGGGTCAGAGACAGAGAGTGTGTGTGTTGGGGCGGTACAATAAGTAGCAAGTGCTGAGCAACGGCTTGTCCCTGATGTGCAGAAACTGCTTGCAGGTAGGAGAGGAGGGTGAGGTTGGCAATTGCTGTTGGGATGAGCCTAACTATCAAGGGATAGCTTACAGGTAGGAGACGAGAGAGAGGTCAGAAATTGCTGTTGGGATGGATCCTGAGAACAAATTCCATCGAAGGTCCCTGCCATGTGCGCCACACACAATGCACACACGGCACGGCACGGGTGGGTTACGAAGCAAAATGAACCATAGCGTAGGAAGGGCAGATTGGGTGGAAGTCAGGCTCGCAATACATATAAACTCGGGCACACTATTTCCGACACATTTCAGATGGGTCGGGTCGGGTCGGGCAGGGCAGTGCATGCAACTGCCAGTCACTTTCGTCAAACCAGCAACACGCTCTTTGCGCCGTAGAAGGTGCCCTGGTACCTTGACTTGGAAGTCCTTGAAGGTATCTCACACACGCACACGCACACGCACACGCACACACACACGCACACGCACATACACACGCACACGCACACACACACGCACACGCACACACACACGCACACACACACGCACACGCACACACACACACGCACACACACACGCACACACACACGCACACACACACGCACACACACACGCACACACACACGCACACATACACGCACACACGCACGCACACACGCACACACACACGCACACACACACGCACACACACACGCACACACACACACACGCACACGCGCACGTACACGCGCACGCCCATGCGCGCACACACACACACACACACACACATACACACACACACACACACACACACAGATCTGCAAGATTGGCAGCGATGGAGTAAATAGGAACACTCACAACAAGGCGAGGTTAGTGAGGTGGAATATGGCCGACGGGATTGTGCCCTCTAACTTGTTATTTCCAAGATTCCTATTGAGGCACAACGAGGGGCACACGAGAAGCAGTTGATACAGGTGTAAAGGCAAAAGCACCCTAGACCATTGCAGCATGGGCAGAACTTGTCATGAGCAGCACTTGTCATGGACATAAGCAACACAAATGCCTTTTCTTTCCTGCTATCATCTTGTTCTTTCCAACATTGTGCATTTGCATTGAAGACTGGCTACGACTACGTATGCCCATCAGGGTTGCTTATTATGCTAGTTATGCACTTTATGCCAGTCTTTACGCTCATTTTGACTTCAGTGAGGGTGAGTGAGGATCAGTGAGGGTGAGTGAGGGCCCGTGAGGATCAGTGAGGGTGAGTGAGGGCCATGATGCAGGTGGATTTGGGTAGAGCCTAAGCAATGGCTTCCATAAGTTAGAGCTTTTAAAAGGTATCACATACAGAAAGAAGATTGGCAGTGGTGGAGAGAAGTTCTCACAATAAGGTGAGATTGAAGAGGTGGAAGATGGATGAAGGGATTGCGCGACCAATCTTGTTATTGTCAAGAGATCTGTCCGGGCACAACAAGGGGCACATGGGGAGCAAGGGGCACATGGGGAGCAAGGGGCACATGGGGAGCAAGGGGCACATGGGGAGCAAGGGGCACATGGGGAGCAAGGGGCACATGGGGAGCAAGGGGCACATGGGGAGCGGCACGAGGTTATACGGGGCAGTGCACAAGCAACGCAGTAACAAGGCACGACTCCTCCTCCATGTCAAATAAGTGCCGTTCTGTGCTCAGAGGATCTGGCTGGCAGACCACCAATGAGACCCCCAACATTTGGTGTTCCAATTTTGATGGACGAGGTGACATATGCTTACAGGCGTGAGAGGGCAGCCAGGTCGGCAATGCCTTCTGGGATGGAGCCTGATAAACTGTTGAAACTGAGCGTTCTGCCACGCCAGTCAGACGGGAGGAAGGGGCGAAACATGATGTCGTGCAATGTCATCTCATGTCATGTCATGCCATGCTATGTCAAGGAGTCACTTGGCAGCAAAGCAGCCGGAGTCAAGCTCTAGTGGTGAGCTGTTTGACTGTGAACCTGCCCTGCACCATCCAGCCATCCATCCCATCAGCAGCACCATCCAGCCATCCTACCGGCAACCTCCATCCAGCCATCTCCATCCATTTACCATCACCATTCATCCTACCGTCACCATGCGTGCATAGCATGACCTAGTAGGGAAGTTAAGACTCACCGTTACCTCAGTGGAATTGCCTGTAGCACGGCGTACGTGCGTGCTACTCACAGCTCTGTTAAGCAGTTGAGGCGAGACATGGTGGCTGGAAGAGAGACAGTAAGCTTGGTACTTGAGAGACCACTGGATGAAGGGAAGTTGTATGTTGGCTGGGGAGGAAGACAAACAAGTCTTGAGACGCAGGGCCAAGGACCCAGTAGGGACGCATGGCATGAAAAAGGTCGGCATTGAGGGGGTGTATGTATGTATGGATAATGGCAGGCTTGTGAGGTAAGAAGGGGTTCATAACAGGTTGAATATGGCATGCAGCTGGAAAAAGGCCAAGCCAGCCATGGGTGGATTGAACTCATAGTGGCATGCTGGCGTGGCATGGCATGTACTGGCCTGGATGGAATTCATAGTGGCATGCTGTGGCATACAGTAGAGTGAGTGCGGTGAGGTTCCCAATGGCTTCAGGAATCGGTCCCTCCAACTTCTTGCCAGTCACGTTCCTATGGGAGGCATGGGGGGAGCGTTGGGGGGTATGGGGGTGCATTGGAGAGCATTGGGGGGTATTGGGGGGCATTGGGGGGCATTGGGGTGCGTTACATGGGGGACATTGGGGGGCATTGGGGTGGGTTGCATGGGGGGCATTGGGTTGGCTCAAGGCATGATGCGTGGAGTATATGGCAGTATGGAGTGAAAACCAACCTACAAGCATGGTGCAAGCAACCTACAGGCGTGGTGCATGCAAGCAACCTACAGGCGTGGTGCATGCAAGCAACCTACAGGCGTGGTGCACGCAAGCAACCTACAGGCGTGGTGCACGCAAGCAACCTACAGGCGTGGTGCACGCAAGCAACCTACAGGCGTGGTGCACGCAAGCAACCTACAGGCGTGGTGCACGCAAGCAACCTACAGGCGTGGTGCACGCAAGCAACCTACAGGCGTGGTGCACGCAAGCAACCTACAGGCGTGGTGCACGCAAGCAACCTACAGGCGTGGTGCACGCAAGCAACCTACAGGCGTGGTGCACGCAAGCAACCTACAGGCGTGGTGCACGCAAGCAACCTACAGGCGTGGTGCACGCAAGCAACCTACAGGCGTGGTGCACGCAAGCAACCTACAGGCGTGGTGCACGCAAGCAACCTACAGGCGTGGTGCACGCAAGCAACCTACAGGCGTGGTGCACGCAAGCAACCTACAGGCGTGGTGCACGCAAGCAACCTACAGGCGTGGTGCACGCAAGCAACCTACAGGCGTGGTGCACGCAAGCAACCTACAGGCGTGGTGCACGCAAGCAACCTACAGGCGTGGTGCACGCAAGCAACCTACAGGCGTGGTGCACGCAAGCAACCTACAGGCGTGGTGCACGCAAGCAACCTACAGGCGTGGTGCACGCAAGCAACCTACAGGCGTGGTGCACGCAAGCAACCTACAGGCGTGGTGCACGCAAGCAACCTACAGGCGTGGTGCACGCAAGCAACCTACAGGCGTGGTGCACGCAAGCAACCTACAGGCGTGGTGCACGCAAGCAACCTACAGGCGTGGTGCACGCAAGCAACCTACAGGCGTGGTGCACGCAAGCAACCTACAGGCGTGGTGCACGCAAGCAACCTACAGGCGTGGTGCACGCAAGCAACCTACAGGCGTGGTGCACGCAAGCAACCTACAGGCGTGGTGCACGCAAGCAACCTACAGGCGTGGTGCACGCAAGCAACCTACAGGCGTGGTGCACGCAAGCAACCTACAGGCGTGGTGCACGCAAGCAACCTACAGGCGTGGTGCACGCAAGCAACCTACAGGCGTGGTGCACGCACGCAACCTACAGGCGTGGTGCACGCAAGCAACCTACAGGCATGGTGCACGCAAGCAGACGCGGACGAGTACGGGAGGCTACGTGTTCGTCTACGGAGGAGCCGCAGTCTCCTGGTCGAGCTAGCGCATCAAGTGCGCGACGCTGTCGTCGACCGAGTCGGAGTACGTGGCGGCTACAGAAGCCGGCAAGGAGGGACGCCGTCTTCGCTTCCTCCTCGCAGAGTTCCGGCAGTTGGATGCCGGGAAGCCGACCGTCCTTCGGGTGGACAACAAGTCGGCCATCACGGTCGCCGAGGACATGGGGTTGATGGGCAACCTCAAGCACATGGAGCGGCGACAGGCCTGGATGCAACACATGGTGAAGCGCGGGAAGTTTTCGTTGAAGTACATCCCGACCGCTGAGCAGCCGGCCGACTTCCTGACGAAGGCGCTGCACTATCCGACCTTCAACCGGTGCTCCGCTGCCATCGGCCAGGTGCGCTTGGCCGACGTGGGCGACGGGGATAACGACGTGCAGCAGTAGGTGCCATGCCCTCTTGCATGGCTGGTGCGGTGGTCGGCGTACTCTATGTTGGGTGCACGCCGACGAGCTATTCTCCGAGAAGTTCTGCCGTGCGGGCTGGGGGGGGCCAAGCGTGAACGCGGCAGAGGAGTGTCAACGGGAGTTGGGTGTGGCCCTGTCCTCGCTTGGGCGGAGCCGACCTTGTGGTCGGGTGTGAGGGGAGCAGCCGACCTTCAGCAGTGGGCGACCTGGTCGACGGGGTTGGTCGACCTGCACCGGGGCCACTGCAAGGGCGCCGACTTCGGGAAGGCGCCGACTTCGAGGAGGTCGATTTGGGAAGTCGACCTGTCTAGGGCGTCAAGTTGGTGACGCCGACCTGGAGAAGCCGACTTGGGTGGTCGGCTGACACTTGTGCTGGTCGATGTGGGGGCTCGTTGACCAGAAGGGATGTCGACCTGGTGGTCGACCAGGACGATGTGGTCGACGAAGGGAGAGGCCGACGTCGACTTCGACAGGGGAGAATGGGGACGTCGAGCTGATGGGCGTCGAGGAGCAGGACACCGAGCAGCTCGGCGTCGAGCAGCAGGGCGCCGAGGTGGAGGGCGCCGAGCATTGGGGACGCCGGGCTTGTGCAGCTGGCGACCGACCGAGCTGGTCGACCAGGCGTGGTTGCCCGGTCGACCGGGATTCCCGGGCGACGTGCGCGAGTGTCGCCGGGGTGGTTCTGCGAGGCCGACCTCGGAAGTGGTATTCCGAGGTCAACGTGGCTGGTGGGCGCAGTCGCTGGCGTGGAGTTGACCTGGGCGTCTGCGTTGTGCACGTGACAAGGAAGAGCGCACCAACCAGCTGCGCGCACCTGCGAAGCAGGTGCAACGTTGTCCCGCGAGTGCAGCACTGTGCAGCCGACTTGCTGCAGCGTTGACACGCCGTGGACTGGCAACGTTGGCAAGCCGCGACTTTGCTCTGCTGGAGCGCGGTCGACCAAGTCGCGCTGGCGCGTGGTCGACCGTGCTGCGCTGGTGGTCGACCCGCAGCTTTGCTAGGTCTGATGTAGTCTTGCATGCCAATGTTGTTGCAACCATTGTTGTGAACTTTTGCTAGTGAAACTCTTGCCAACTTTCCCCGTGAACCAACAAGTAGTGCAAGCACAAGAAAACGACTAAGGAACGAACGCAGAGATCACACGAGCATCTGTGCCTAGCCCGTAGTCTAGCTCCCGTTGTAGTAGTTATCTCCGCACTGGAGGTCCCGCACAATGAGAACATCGTTGAGTGTGATATGAATGTCGCTGTCGTGTGCCTTGAGAACGACGATGCCGCAGGCCCTGGTTTCGAGCTGATGATTGTTGGCCACGGTGACTATGGTGGGTTGCGGGATGGGGCTTGCGTTGGAGACGAAGCGCTTGGAGCCCACCATGTGCTGCCCGCAGCAGCTGTCAAGGTACCATGTGTTGTAGGAGTTTGCGCGGTGTTGAGCCGAGAGTGCCAGATTTGGTGTGTTGCGAAACGGAATGCGCCTATCGCCAGCAGCGCGGTAATTGTCGACAGGGCGAGTGTCCATGTTGTGGCCGAAGTAGGTTGTGATTGACGGCGAGATGAGAAAATCGTCGTCATGTGGCGGCGACTCGAGCAAAGGTATCGGCAGATCCCAATCTTGCTCGTGTTCGTCGGAGACGAACTCTCCATCCTGCGTGAATGGGTTGTTGTAGCTGGTGAATTGAACTTCTTGTCCTAGCGGAGGCGGAGAGACGTATCGAAGATCTCGCCGATTGGTGTGCCGAGTGCGGCGGTGAATGCGCATTGCCATGTTGCCCATGACATGACGGATGTTGTTGTATTGTGGTGCGCGCTGAGTGTCAGGCTGAGACGGTTGGCGCGGGACAGACCGATGGTCCGGAGATAGTCGGTTTGCCTGGCGCGAGTGATCGGGACCATAGGCAGATTTGTTGCGCGGCGCGGGATCGTGTCGTGGTCCGGATCGACAGCGTTCGGTGGAGTGACCGAATGCTTTACAATTGTTGCAGTAATACTGTCATGGGCGTGTGTCGCGAGTCCTCCGTTGATCGCGATTAGAGTAGAAGGCGATTTGTTAACGGTGCGTCCCCTTTTCTTGGTTGAAGTCCATGTCTCGCTCCTCGTGCAGCATAGTAGCGCAGAGGTGCGCCTCGAAAATTATCCCCTATTGGCGAAGTAGAGCCTTGCAAGGATTCCAGTACGGTCCCAGCCCTCGAAGTACGATGGTAACGAACATGTCCTCGGAGATTGTGTTTCCGAGCTTCAGTAGTTGGTCGCGGACGCTGCGACAGCGATTGATGTAGGAATTTGCCTTCTCGCCAGGTGCCATCTTGACTTCCATGAGTTGCTGGAGCAAGCGGCTGGATGATACGAAGTCCTTAGGCTGGTAAGATTTGGTGAGGTGGCCCCAGGCGGCCATGGCGGGAGCTTGGTGGGTTTTGTAGGGGCGAATGCCGAGTTGTTCGGTTGGCGCCATGTTGCGGAGAAGGACGCTATATGCCATGAGTGACTCGTTATAGTACTGAGCCTTAGCGTCGTCAGTGTCGTTAGTGGGGCATGCGTAGCTTCCGTCGAAGTAGCAGAACATTTGCGCGTTTTGGAGAAGTAGCTCGAGCTCGAAACTCCAGGTGTACAAATCACGCCCGCTAAACACGGTGCTGTTTTGGAGATTGTCAGAAACTTGTTCTGGGCTGCGAGCACGGCTTCGTCACTTGGACGAGGAACGGTTGGAGCAGAAGAATTCGACCCGAGGTTGAAGGTGGTTGGGCTCGGTTCCTTGGTTGGAGCGACCGATCGTTGCGTGGTTTCTGGGTTGCTGTTCTTCAGTTGTTGAATTCCTGATTCCAGCGTAGTAATCCGCTGGATGAGTTGCTCCAGTAGCGCATTGCTGACGGTGGTAGTTCCCGCGGAGTTCGCGGTAGGGTTGGCTGGGGCTTCGGCAGTGGTAGCCGCTTGTCCGCCAGATCCTCCAGCCATATTTCGGCGGAAGCGCGTACTGAACGCCACCTTGAATTTGAATTTGAATCAAAGGTGGTGGTGCGAAAATCCTGAGTGGCTCTCATACCATGATACAATCTGCACCGTCTTATAGGATCATCTCAGGTTGATCGCATGGAGTGTAGCAACGGAAGATTGCTTGGTAATGTCGGGTACGGACTCTGTCAGAAGAAGGAGATTCGAATCTCGACAGAAGTGACTAATACAATGCGGTACAAGGGTTTATATAGGAATACAGTGGAATGCGAAAGGTCCTAGCTAGCCACGTACTCTGAGGGGGTACATTCCTCTAGGGCTAATCTAGATGCAGGATTGCAATTGTGCGGTTCGGTAACCGTACGCGGTCCGGTAACCGTTTGAACTTTTCCCGCGCTTTGCACTTCGAATTCTTCCTGCTTGTAACTGTCTTTGATAACTGTCTTATCGCTTGGTCTTTCATCCTCGCTTCAACTATTCCATATCGTAACAGGGTTTCGCTGCAATGAGGGAATGTACCCCTTAGAGTACATGGCTAGTCTAGGTCGTTCCGTGTTCCCCTCTACTCTTATTTATACTTTTGTATTTGCATGTTTTTATCTCAATCATTTTACATCCATATTGATTTGAGGTCAAGGGCCTACCACTACCACACTGTTGTGTGCGAACCTTCCCGAGGTGATCCTATGTTCGATCAACTCTTGATTGCAGCACGGTATCAGAGCGACTCAGGAATCCTTCGCACTGCCACCTCCAAAACACTCGGCGAATTAAGGTGGCGTCCGGCACACGCTCACGCGTAAGGATGGCCGGAGGATCTGGACCCGGCTGCGACAAACGAGGAAACGACGACGATCGGAACCGCCGTCCTCGCACAACTGCTTTAGCGACTCTCTTCTTTGGAGCAAGGACTCCAAATATTGCGGAATGGCGACGCGGGAACATCCTCCCAACCCTCTCAACCGGCCCAAAACGGCTTCTCACACCTTCTCCCTCGAAACAAATGGCTCAACTTCTAAGACTCCCCGTCCCATCGAAGAAGCAATCTCAGCTCAATCATGGTTCTTGAGCATCTCAATAATGACAAGTGTGTGTTTTTACGGCACAGACTTCTATACGTGGAGCTTCGAGCTGGAGTTGCTGCTAGAAAACGCGCAGATATTTCATTACTTCTACGGGAGCTACGTGAGACCTGCTGAAGATACCGCTGACGCCAGGGCTCAATATTACAACGAGTCATTGATGGCGTACGACGTCTTACTACGACACATGTCGCCGGCGGAGCAGCTGAGCATCTGATCGTACAAGACAACATCTGCTCCAACCCTCGACGCCTGGCGACATCTGAACAGCGTATACCAACCGAAAGACTTGGTTTCTTTGAGCCGTCTGCTTCAGCAGCTACTGGAGAAAAAAATGGCCTAGGGGAGAAGGCCAACAGCTACATCAAACGCCGTCGGAGCTTACGCGATCAAATCGCAAAATTGGGAAGCACCATCTTCGAAGAGTTCTTCGTGAATATCGTGCTCCAAGGGCTCGGCCCAGAATGGCGCTACTCCGACAGCGGAGGGTTATCTCGGAAGCCGCCCTATGTGCCGCCCTACTCGTCGAACAAAGAGACATGGATCAGCAGCGACCAGCGCCGCGACGAGATCGAGAACGTCTCGCCTTCTACGCCAACAACACGGAAGAGCGACGACCGCGGCGCCTATACTGCAAAATATGCAGAAAATTTCGGGCACTTGGCAGAGCGAAGCAAATCTCGCTCTCGCCCTCGCCAGACTAATCCGAGCACTTGGTCCGGGTGTCTGATCAAGTGCCTAAGGTGTCTGATCAATTGTCTCAGGTGTCTGATCAAGTGCCTCAGGTGTCTGATCAAGTGCCTCAGGTGTTTGATCAAGTGCCTCAGGTGCTTGATCAAGTGCCTCAGGTGCGCATTCAAGTGCCTACAGTGACGATGTGCCACAGGGGTAGCACTCACAAAAAGGCCGTCACTGCACCTCTTGCAGAGGCGGAAGAGGAAGAAGTACGCGAGGATGGGATGGGATGAGAGAGATGTAGGGTCGTGCAGTGATAGAGGCGCGCGACTCTGCTCAATCACCATCACCATCAATCACCCCCCATCACCATCACTGCCTACCACGTGTGCACCCCCCCCATCCCCATCACTGCCTGCCACGTGTGCATGCCCCCATCGCCATCACTATCTGCCACGTCTGCACCCCCCATCGCCATCACTGCTTGCCACGTGTGCAGGTGCAGGAGCACGTGCTGGTGGCATCGCTGCTGCTCAGCTGGTCCATTACTGAGGTGCGCTGGGGAGTGCAGGAGGGGGGGGAGGGGGGGAGGCAGGGGAGGGCGCGGGGGGTGCACCGGGGGTGCGGAGGGTGCGTGAGGGGTGCGCTGGGAGTGCTTAAGAAGTGCGCAGGAGGGGACGTCAGGGGTGCGCGCTGTTGAGGGTGCATGGTGCGTGCAGGACACATGAGTGCTCCATGTGGGAGGGAGGGATTGGGCATAACGAGGAGAGAGTGGGGGAAGGATACCGAGGAAAGGGGCAAGGTTGAGGGTAGGGGGACAGACGGTCAAGAATGCTAGTCTGTGCTCTCACCCTTTCGCACCCCTGAAGGGAGAGTACCCGACACGAGCAAGACGCTGCAAGCTGACCAGACGCAGACACCCGACTCGTCGCAGCCACCTGACCTGCCTCAGCCACCTGTGCAGACGCAGTGGTCAGTGTGTACAAACTAGACCTAGGCCGTCGAGTGAACGTAGCAAGGTGACGGCCAGTCCGGAAGCACGTACAGATCGCCACACGCTGCCCTCCAGGAATAAAAGTATCAACCCAGACATCCTGAATGGCAGCGTTGCTCACCAAGTTCGTCGAGAACGTGGGGAGGTGGAGACCAGACAGAGAACCGGAGGGGACTGCTGGACACGGGAGGACAGTTGAGGCTCGTGCGACTACTGGGCCCCCAGTGGGGTCAGCCAGTGAGACTGGTACCGGTGCAGCAAGTGGTGTGAGTGTGGTGCAGTCACGAAAGAGGCAACGTGACGCGCCTGAGTCAAGTGTGAAAGTGTGCAAGGCCTCAGCTGAGGCAGGACCTGTGGCGGGAGACGCACGAGCACCTAAAGCTGCAGCAGACTCACTAGCACCTGGAGCGGCAGCAGACTCAATAGCACAGTGCAACAGCCTCGACAGAACCAGTGACACATCGCTGAGGAACCAACTCACTAAGCACATGCGGGGAGAAGGTCTCCTGCTAACTCTGCTGCCGCCTCTGTGCATTACACATAGAAAACCAAAGCCTCCACCTCCTGAACGGGCTCGCTGAAGAACCCACTCGCGAAGCTGCTGACGGGTGGGGTCGTCCGGGAGAGGCAGTGACCGCCGCTGTCCACCCCTAGCCGCTGCAACTGCCGTGATAGTGGCCATGATAGGCAGTGACGGTCAGTAGTAGGTCCAGCACCTCCAGCACCAGCAGCACCTCAAGCACTCCCAGTCGCACCTCCAGCACCTCCAGCACCAGTAGCACCTCCAGCACTCCCAGCAGCACCTCCACCAGCAGCAGCAGTAGCACGAGCAGCAGCAGCAGCAGTAGTAGCAGCAGGGCGGCTCGTGCAGCAGTAGCGCGCTGGGCAGCAGGGCGCGCTGGCGCTTTTAGGGTTGCGGGGCGCGCTGGCGCGCTTCGCAGCAGGGAGCGCTGGCGCGCTGGGCTGCGGTGCGCACTAGCGCGCTGGGCTGCGGGGCACGCTGGCGCGCTTAGGGCTGCGGGGCACGCTGGCGCGCTTTGCAGTGGGGCGCGCTGGCGCGCTGGGCTGCGGGGCGCGCTGGCGCGCTTAGCAGCGGGGCGCGCTGGCGCGCTGGGCTGCGGGCCGTGCTGGCGCGCTTAGCAGCGGGGCGCACTGGCGCGCTGGGCTGCGGGGCGCGCTGGGGCAGGAGCTGCTCGCGGGCAGAAGGGGCACGCAGGGCAGGGGCTGCTCACGGGCAGCAGGGGCGCTCATGGCAGGGGCTGCTCGCGGGCAGCAGGGCGCTCGAGGCAGGGGCTGCTCGCGGGCAGCAGTGGCGCTCGAGGCAGGAGCTGCTCGCGGGCAGCAGTGGCGCTCGAGGCAGGGGCTGCTCGCGGGCAGCAGTGGCGCTCGAGGCAGGGGCTGCTCGCGGGCAGCAGTGGCGCGCGGGGCAGAGGCTGCACGCGGGCAGCAGGGGCGCGCGGAGCAGGGGCTGCTCGCGGGCAGCAGGGGCGCGCGTGACAGTAGGGCAGCGCGCTAGGGCAGGCAGTGCGAGTAGCTGCAGGGCAGCGTGACACTGTGCGAGAGGGCCGGACAGCGCAAGGGCGCTTCGGGCAGGAACTTAGCAAAACGATCGGTGGGCCCTAAAAACTTAACAGGTTTCCTGCTCTGAATACCATGTTAGAATAACTGTGCAGGAATGAATGAACTATGAATGAGTTGGGTACAAGTACTAACCCTAAAGTGTTGTTCCCCTTGTAGGGCTAACCCACTATAGCCTAGAGAGAACACAAACATACAGTTTGACACCTTCAGAGGATGCCAGCTACGGATCATACTTATACGGTAGCAGCCTTTTTGCACTTCAGGCTCCTTGTCAAGAACACAAAAAGGAGTAACTTTGCTTGAAGTCTCATGTACATGGCTTCACCACACATGCAACCATCAGGAAGCAAGCAGAGATTGTGTGTAGAGCACAACGTACCGGGGATGTAGGTGGGGAGGATGAGGATGGAGACGAGGTAATAGTCAACGGCAAAGTTGACCTTTTTGGGCATGTCAAACGAGAACACGTGGGACGCCTGCCAGGTGGAATGGGGGACAGTACACGGCGTTTGAGACGTCTCAGAAGTCAAGGTAATAATCAACGGCAAAGTTGACCTTGTTGGGCATGTCAAAGGAGAACACGTGGGACGCCTGCAAGGGTGGAATGGGGAAAAGAACAGATCAACACAGTTACGAAAAAAAAAAAGTCTAAATAGGAGCCAGAGGCGGGCTGGAGGGCCACAAAAAACGAACTGATTATTTGTTCATTCCAACTGGAAGGTAGCGCTGGTTACACTTTAAACACATCCCAAGGAAAGGGGTGGCAATGAGGCAAACAGTTGAGCAGGCAAATTGTCCCAAGATGTCCTGCCCCCTGACATCATGCCCCCTGACATCATGCCCCCATCTGACATCATGCCCTCATTTGACATTACGGCCCAGTCTGACATCGCGGCCCAGTCTGACATCGCGGCCCGGTCTGACATCGCGGCCCGGTCTGACATCGCGGCCCGGTCTGACATCGCGGCCCGGTCTGACATCGCGGCCCGGTCTGACATCGCGGCCCGGTCTGACATCGCGGCCCGGTCTGACATCGCGGCCCGGTCTGACATCGCGGCCCGGTCTGACATCGCGGCCCGGTCTGACATCGCGGCCCGGTCTGACATCGCGGCCCGGTCTGACATCGCGGCCCGGTCTGACATCGCGGCCCGGTCTGACATCGCGGCCCGGTCTGACATCGCGGCCCGGTCTGACATCGCGGCCCGGTCTGACATCGCGGCCCGGTCTGACATCGCGGCCCGGTCTGACACTCTGACATCGCGGCCCACTCTGACATCGCGGCCCACTCTGACATCGCGGCCCACTCTGACATCGCGGCCCAGTCTGACATCGCGGCCCAGTCTGACATCGCGGCCCAGTCTGACATCGCGGCCCAGTCTGACATCGCGGCCCAGTCTGACATGCGGATTGTAACAAAAGATGTGGAATGGAGTGAGGGCAGGAGAGCTTGGGATTGCACATGGTGAGTGAGTGGATATACCTTGGGGATAGAACCGGGGGAGTGAGGGGAGACACATTACAGGTATAGACACAGAGAAAGTGAGTGGTGGAGAAACACAGGGCAGGTGTGTGAAAATACCGTGAGGAACAGTGCATAGACACTGAGTAGGAGACACATGCAGCAGGAAGACACATGCAGCAGGGCGAGCGAGAAAGAGAGGGAGGGGCGGACCTTGAGGTAGGCCAGGGCGAAGAAGGCGAGTCCCACTTCGCTGGTGATGCCCGAAGGGTAGAGCACATAGAACATGCTGTACCTGGTGGGCGCAGGGAGATAGGGGAAGAGAGTTATGGCGGAGGGTGAAGGGGTGGACAGAAGCACGAAAGGAATGAGGGATGGAGGATGAGGAGTAGAGCACGTAGATCATGCTGTACCTGATGCTTGCAGCACAGGGAGGGAGGGGGGCGGGCAAGAGACATGGAAGTGAGAAAGGAGTCAGCGGCATGGATGGTGATGCTCGAGGGGTAGAGAGAGCACACAGAACATGCTGTACCTGGTGTCTGCAGGGGGGTGGGGGATGAGAGATGTGGCGGAGGGGGGAGATGGTGTCAGAATCCCAGCCACTAACCACTGGGATAAAAGGGCTTGTTTGTGTAGCGGGTGAGTGCGCCCATAACCCCCCAGGCCAACGTGCTTGTAACCCTTCCCTAGGATCAATCGGGGATCACCAGTGGACCTCTGACACCCCCCCTCACTGGGATGTCCGAAGTGCACACACTAGGATTCGAACCCAAGACCCTCGCTCTGATACCATGTTAGAATCCTAGCCACTAACCACTGGGATAAAAGGGTTTGTTTGTATAGCGGGTGAGTGCGCCCATAACCCCCCAGGCCAACGTGCCTGTAACCCTTTCCTAGGATCAATCAGGGATCACCAGTGGACCTCTGACAGAGGGGAGAGGGGTGCACAGCAGCATGGGTGAGAGTGAGGGCTGGTGGTTAAGGGGTAGAGAACGTGGAACATGCTGTAGCTGTTACGCGCAGGGATATGCAGGACGGGAAAAAGGGGAAGCGAAATGGCGGAGGGGGAAGGGAGATGGCGGGGGGGGAAGGGAGATGGCAGAGGGTGGAGGGAGATGGCGGAGGGGGAAGGGAAATGGCGGAGGGGGAAGGGAAACGGGGGAGGGGGAAAGGAGATGGCGGAGGGGGAAGGGAAATGGCGGAAGGGGAAGGGAAATGGCGTAGGTGGAAGGGAAATGGCGGAGGGGGAAGAGAAACGGTGGAGGGGGAAGGGAAATGGCGGAGGGGGAAGGGTAACTGCGGAGGGGGAAGGGAAACGGCGGAGGGGGAAGGGAGATGGCGGAGGGGGAAGGGAAACGGCGGAGGGGGAAGGGAGATGGCGGAGGGGGAAGGGAAATGGCGGAAGGGGAAGGGAAATGGCGTAGGTGGAAGTGAAATGGCGTAGGTGGAAGGGAATGGCGGAGGAAGAAGGGAAACGGCGGAGCGGGAAGGGAAATGGCGGAGGGGGAAGGGTAACTGCGGAGGGGGAATGGAAATGGCGGAGGGGGAAGGGAAATGGCGGAGTAAGACGGGGTTCACAGCAGCATGGGTGGGGTGCAGGTGGGTGGGTGAAGGGTGCAGCACAAGGGCGAGCAACCAGTGGTGCAAGCAGGTCAGGTCAGGAGAAGGGAGAAATGGAGTGGGGAGTGCGGGGGAGGGAAGAGGGAGGAGGCAAGGAATGCGGAGATGGTCGAGGGGTGGGTGGGGAACGTGAAATGGACCAGGGTGCGAGGGGCAGGGAGTGCGAGGGGCAGAGGGTGCGAGGGGCAGGGAGTGCGAGGAGCAGGGGGTGCGAGCATGGAGGCGCATGGGGTGCGCATGGGGTGCGTTGTACCTGAGCCAGAGAAGAGGCACGGGTGTGAAGCCAAAGGCCTCCTTAACGGCGAAGAAGGAGTAGCGCACGATCTGATGGGCGGGCATGGGATGGGTGGGCGTGGGGGAGGAGGGAGAGGGGGCGGGCAGAGGGGGATGGGGGGATCGCATGTGAACGGGGCGCGGGTGTGAAGCCAAAGGCCTCCTTGACGGCGAAGAAAGAGTAGCGCACGATCTGACGGGCGGGCATGGCGAGGCGAGCACATGCGCGGGGAGGAGGAGGGAGACCAGGAAGGGGGAGGGGATGGGGCGGGTGGAGGAGAGCAGATGGGGATCGGGGGATCACAGGTGGGCGGGCGACGACAGGCGGGTGGGCGACGACAGGCGGGTGGGTGACGACAGGAGGGTGGGAGAGCACAGGCGGGTGGGCGACGACAGGCGGGTGGGCGACGACAGGCGGGTGGGCAATGACAGGAGGGTGGGCGAGCACAGGAGGGTGGGCGACGACGGTTGGGTGGGCGAGCACAGGAGGATTGGGTGGGGTTTGACATGCAGAGAGGACATGGGCAGATTGCGGTTTTGAGGCGCCTCAAAGAGGGACCTGGGCGAGTTGTGTGGAGGCCGGGGGAATTCTGAGGCCTTGCAACAAATACGTAGGGGGAATTGGGAGTGGTGACTCTCCTCTGGCACCACCGTCTCGGTCACCCCTCCCTGCCGCGTCTCCGCAGCATGCACTCCCGTCTCCTTGTCTCTGGCCTTCCCAGGTCCCTGCCCTACCTCCCGCGCTCGCCTGCACCGCTGTGCCTTCCCTGCGTCGAGGGGCGGCAGCGCGCCGCTCCTCACTCCTCCGAGTTTCCTCCGACCACTGCTCCTCTGCAGACTCTCCACATGGACGTTTGGGGCCTGGCCCCCGTCGGTGGAACGGACCAGGAGCGCTACTTCTTGCTGGTTGTTGACGACTACACACGTTACACCGCTGTCTTCCCCTTGCGGCGCAAGGCGGACGTCAGCGGTGTTTTGATCCCCTGGATCCGTGCTACTCGTTGCCAGCTGCGCGAGCGGTTTCGTCGGGACTTCTCAGTCCTATGTCTGCACTCTGACAGGGGCGGTGAGTTCACTTCTGACCTCCTTGCTGAGTTCTGTCGAGACGAGGGCATCCGCCAGTCGTTCACGCTTCCGGCCTCTCCTCAGCAAAATGGGATTGCTGAGCGTCGCATTGGCTTGATCATGGAGGTTGTTCGTACCTCCATAATCCATGCGGCTGCTCCTCATTTTCTGTGGTCGTTTGCGGTCCGATACGCTGCGCATCAGCTCAACCTCTGGCCCCGTGTCTCTGAGCCAGAGACCTCGCCCACACTCCGGTAAACGGGGAAGATTGGCGATGCGTCGGTGTTTCGGGTCTGGGGCGCGCTCTCCCTTCTTCGCGATGCCAAAGCGAGCAAGCTCTCCTCTCGCACTTTCCGCTGTGTCTTCCTTGGCTTCCCCACCGACGCCCCGCCGTGGAAGTTCTACCACCCGCGCTCGCGTCGAGTCTTCTCCTCCCAGGACGTCACCTTTGACGATTCTGTCTGTTTCTACAGGCTACACCCGCACGCGTCCCACCCGGTCCCCCTAGCGACTCTTTTCTTGGTACCAGTCCCCCCCCCGGTAGACCCCCTCCCCCCACAGGGTCCTGCTCCCTCAGGTGTGTCTCAGGTAGACCCACCCCCCTTGGTTGAGCCGTTGGAGATCTCTTCTGACTCCTCTGGCCCAGCTGTGGGGGGTGACCCCGCCGCTGACGGCACGGCGGCCACTCGCCGCTCTCCACGCTTGGAGACCCCCCCTGGTTTTCCGCCTCGGCCGTCTTCGCCGCCTCCGCAGCCTGCTGCTGTGGACTCTGGAGCTGAGACTGCTTGTGCTGAGCTTGGGGGTGCTGAGACAGAGGGTGAGGGTTCTGGGGGTGCTGCGACTGGGGGTGCTGCGACTGGGGGTGCTGGTTCTGGGGGTGCTGCGACTGGGGGTGCTGACTCTGTGGGTGCTGCGAGTCCTAGTGGCGGTGGAGCTGTGGGGGACTCTGCAGGAGGTCCTGGAGCTGTACAGCCACCGCAGCCTGATCTACTTGAGACGCTCTCGCCGCAGGTGATTCGTGCTTGGATCGTTCGGCGAGGTAGTCCTGGTGCTGGAGGGTACGGTCCTGTTGGTACTGGAGTTGCTAGTCCTGGAGGTACAGCTAGTACTAGAGGTGCTGCTGGTGCTAGAGGTGCTGGACCTACTAGTCTTGGAGGTACAGCTGGTGCTGGAGGTGCTGGAGTCTCTGGCACTGGAGGTGCTGGAGGTGCTGCTGGTGCTGGAGGCGCTGGAGCTGGAGGTACTGGAGGTGCTGGAGCTGCTGGTCCTGGAGGTGCTCGTACTGGAGGTGCTGGAGCTGCCGGAGCTGGTGGTGCTGCTGGTGCTGGAGGTGCTGGGGGTACGGGAGCTGCTGGCACTGGAGGTGCTGGTGCTACTGTTGGTCCTGGAGGTGCTCGTACTAGAGGTACTGGAGCTGCCGGAGCTGGTGGTGCTGCTCGTGCTGGAGGTGCTGGTGCTGCTGGTGCTGGAGGCGCTGGAGCTGGAGGTACTGGAGGTGCTGGAGCAGCTCGTCCTGGAGGTGCTCGTACTAGAGGTGCTGGAGCTGCCGGAGCAGGTGGTGGTGCTGGTACTGGAGGTGCTGGAGCTGCTGGTCCTGGAGGTGCTCGTGCAAGAGGTGCTGGTGCTGCTGGTGCTGCAGGTGCTGGAGGTGCTACTGGAGCTGCTGGCAGTGGAGGTGCTGGAGGTACTGCTGGTGCTAGAGGTGCTGGCGCTACCGGAGCTCGTGGTGCTGCTGGTGCTGGAGGTGCTGGAGGTGCTACTGGAGCTACTGTTGCTGGAGGTGCTGGTGCTGCTGGTGCTGGAGGAGCTGGAGCTGCTGGTCCTGCCCCGCGTCGACTGTTTTTCTACCCGCAGCCGCAGTCGTTCCTGCCGCCGCCTGACTCAGTCCTTCACCAGGTTCTTGGTTTCCCGTCTTCCACTCCACCTCTCCTGTGTCCTCCGACAGACCAGTCTCAGCCACAGCTACTGCCCGGCTCCCCGCTACCTGATCCTGCTCCTCACACTGAGGTGACTGAGTCCCTGACGGAGCGTCGTGAGCCTGAGACTCGTGCATCCACACCTGTTCGTGCTCGTCGTGTCGCCCGTCCTCGTCCTCCTGCTGTCCCAGGCACTCACGGTATGGCACTTCGCCCTTCCTCTGTTGCACAGCGTGTTGTCCTGCCTGAGCCTCCCGCGTCCTCTCTACCGCACGTTCCTGACCCTGAGTCCGACCTTGCTCGTGCTGCCAGTCCTACTGTCACTCGTCTCCTCGCTACTGTCGTCACTGACCCTGACTTTGAGTCTACTGCAGCTTTTGCCCTAGTCACTGAGCTAGTCGGCTTTGCAGGTAGGAGTCGTCTCGACTACGTCGCGAGTCTTGTTACTGCGTCTGAGTCTGTCTGTCCTCCGTCCGTCGGGGGTGAGCCTGCCCTTAGCAGTGACGTCCTTGAGGACAGACAGTTTGAGCTTGAGGGAGACCCGGATGCACTTGACATCCCTACCCCGCGCTCTTACGCTGAGGCGATCGCGGGTGAGTACTCCTCTCAGTGGCAGACAGCCATGGACGCAGAGATGGCTTCCTGGAAGTCCACAGGCACCTACGCCGACGATGTTCCTCCTCCTGGGGCGAACATAGTCGATGGCATGTGGATTTTCATGGTGAAGCGGCCGCCAGGTTCTCCGCCTGCCTTCAAGGCGCGTTACGTTGCTCGAGGCTTCAGTCAGCGACAGGGGGTCGACTTCTTCCAGACCTTCTCCCCCACCCCGAAGATGACTACTCTTCGGGTGCTGCTGCACGTTGCAGCATAGCGGGACTACGAGCTGCACTCCCTCGACTTCTTCACAGCTTTCTTGCAGGGCAGCCTTCACGAGGAGATCTGGCTGCGCCGCCCACCTGGCTTCACTGGGTCAATTCCTACGGGTACCCAGTGGAGCCTCCGGCGGCCAGTCTACGGTCTCAGCCAGGCGCCCCACGAGTGGCACGACACACTGAGGACGACACTTGCGGCTCTTGGGTTTGCTCCTTCCTCTGCTGACCTGTCACTGTTTCTACGCACCGACACTACCCTTCCGCCGTTCTACATTCTCGTGTACGTCGACGACCTGGTTTTTGCTACTGCTGACACTGAGGCGCTGGCCCTAGTGAAGGCGGAGCTGCAGGAGAGACACACCTGCACTGGCCTGGGTGAGCTGCGTAGCTATCTTGGCTTGCAGATCACCCAGGACAGAGCACGGCGCACCATCACTCTGACTCAGTCACACATTGTGCACCATGTCCTTCGGCGCTTCGGCTTCCAGTACTCCTCGCCACAGCCCACTCCTCTGTCTATCGGCCACTCGCTCTCAGCTCCACCTTCAGACGAGTCCGTAGAGCCGAGTGGTCCATACCAAGAGCTTGTGGGTTGCCTCATGTACCTGATGACGTGCACACGACCTGACCTCGCGTACCCTCTTGGCCTCCTGGCTCGCTACGTGGCACCTGGTCGACACCGAAAGGTGCACTTTGATGTTGCGAAGAGGGTACTGCGTTACTTGTGCTGTACATCGGGCATGGGGCTCGTGCTTGGAGGACGGGGTTCAGTGGTACTCACAGCACACTCTGACGCTTCTTGGGCCGACGACCAGGCGACTCAGCGTTCGTCACAGGGTTACACCTTCAGTCTTGGCTCTGGTCCTGTCTCGTGGAGGTCCACTCGTTTTTTTTCTGTGCTTGGTTCCAGCTGTGAGGCCGAGATCTACGCTGGGGCCATGGCTGCACAGGAGCTACGCTGGCTGACCTACCTGCTGACCGACTTGGGGGAGCGGCCTCGTTCTCCTCCAGTTCTGTACGTCGACAACAAGGCAATGCTTGCCTTGTGTCGCGAGCAGAGACTGGAGCACAGAACGAAGCACATTGCTTCGTTGCTTTCTTGCTCGGGAGCTGCAGCAGCGTGGTCAGCTGCGCCTTGCTTACGTGGCCTCTCGGGCCAACACTGCTGATGTCTTCACCAAGGCCCTCGGGTCTGGTGATCTTCAGCGTTTTTGCACTGCTCTTAGACTTGTGCCCACTCTGCCTCATCTGCTGGTTGCTTGACTTGCTCTTGGTGTGCACTGATATATATCTTTATACCTGCTTGTTTACTCTTGCTAGGTTGTGATCAATGTACTGCCTTGCTAATATAACTCTGCATGTGAACTAGCCTTGTGGCCGCTTGCTTGTGCTCAGACTGTGTGGTGTCCTTGAGATCCACCCTGAGCTTTGCTTTGCTTGTTCTCTTGCTTGACTGGTCTTGTGACCGTCTGTTGTGTTTGCTCTCTCCCACTTAGCCTATGGGGGTGTGTCAAACTCTATGTTTGTGTTCTCTCTAGGCTATAGTGGATTAGCCTACAAGGGGTACAACACTTTAGGGTTAGTACTTGTACCCAACTCATTCATAGTTCATTCATTCCTGCACAGTTATTCTGACAGAAGGCAGCGTAACAACTTCCTCACTACCACGGAAGGAGTCAACCCTACTTAAAATTAAGATGCCTGCCAAGATTAAGATTAAGATTAAGATGGTAGATGGTAGATTTAGATTTAGATGCTTCTCTATTGCTAGTTGTGAGATGCTCGTGCAGTATCTGATTGACAGATGCTCGTGTGAAGATATGATATATAGTTTTGTGTGGAGCCAAGGTGTGTATCCTTCTAAAATTATGATGTACGGTAGTCTGAATCTATTTTGAATGTTGACAGTAGCTTATCAGAGTCGCTCTTATCAGTGTCAGCTGTGCATCCTTACTAGAGCAGGTGTGTATCCTTTTTAGTGTCAACGAGTCGCGCTTTCAGCCTGGTTAATTTCACCTTGTGAACCGTCTTGTGAGACCAATCACAGGGCGCCGTTTCGCGCTGCAGCATTTTATCCAAACCGCCATTTAGCGCCTCGCCATTCTAACCGCCGCCATCTCAAGAGTAAATCCGCGCATTCGCTGGTTAGTCGACAATGGCGGGGCGGTCGTCGCGATCCTCCGCCTTCCCCTCCTCCGCCTCCACCTCTTCCGCCTCCCCCGCCTTTCCCCCCTCCGCCTCCGCCTCCGATCTCCCCCGTCCCGAATCCGCCCGCGCCACTGCGCGCGACGACCCGCTCTTCTCCGCAGTTCCTCCGTGTCCCATGCTTTACGCCGTGCTTCCCCCCGCCTCCGACCCGCTTCCCCCGCTTCCCTCCGCCCATGCGCGCGACCCTTCCCCCGCAAGCAGCGCAGGCAACGCGCACGGCGCCGCTGCGGTTGGCGGGGCAGCGCATGGGCGGAGGGGAACGCACGCGCGGGCGAAATCGTGGGACGTAGGGGCTTGCGCGGAAGGCGGGGAGAAGGGGGAACGCGGGGACGCGGGGAGAGGATCCGCGGCTCCGCGGTTAGTGCCCGCCATGATGTCGTCACTGTCGCTCACTGTGGAGTGCCTGATGACGACAGCAAGTGTCAGCATACAGGGCATGTGGGAAGTTGGGGAGTATGCGGGGGGGCGCGGGCAAGGGGGCGGAGGGGCAGGCGGAGGGGATGGGGGAGGGGATGGCGGAGCTAATGGTGCGGGGGATGGTGGGGGAAAAGGGGAGGAGGAGCAGCAGCAGCAGCAGTGCTGCGACTGCCTGTTTGTGCTGCCCACGTCTCACAGGGTAGGGGCGTAGGGAGAGCTTGTGCTGCCGAGCTTGAATGAGAGGGTAGGGGCGTGAGCGAGAGGGTATGGGCGTGAGTGAGTGAGAGGGTAGGGTCGTGAGTGAGAGGGTATGGGCGTGAGTGAGAGGATAGGGGCATGAAGGGTAAGGGCGTGAATGAGAAGGTTGGGGCGAGATGAGAGTGTGTTGTGCTGCTGAGCACCCATCGCTCCACTCACCGACACCTCACTACGAACCAACTACCTCGCTTGCGCCCGCTCTCCCCCTCCTCCCCAACATTCCCTTCACCCCATCTCCATCCCCTTCAGTCTTCCTTCCTCCATTCTCATGCGACCACCCTTCCCCCAATGCCCTAGCCTTGTTGGAAGCCAGCTACGCATGTCCCTCCTCCTCTTCTCTTCCCTTACTGCTCCCTGCCCCGTGCCCATCTCTTCCCCTTTTGGCCCCATGCCACACGACTCTCATCCCCCCTTTAAACCCTCAGAGCCATGTGACAGCAGTGGAGGTGACTTTAGCAGATGGAAGGTTCCTCGCAACTGCAGTGCTCCCAGCGGACGAGGCAGAGGCAGCCTGCAGGGCGAGCCAAGAGCGGGCGGCAGCCGCCCACTCCGCCGCCCAGTCCGTGCCGCCCAGGCCCGCCCGGCCGTCGTTCCTGCGCCTTTCGTCTGCTAGCTTCAGCAGGAGCGGCAGCAGAAGGCATAAGTGGAAAAGCCAAGAGGGAGTGGGGGAAGCAGACGGGAGGGCTGAAGCGAGAAGGGATGGCGCGTGGGGAGAGAGCAGTGGGAAGGAGGGTGTTGTGAGTGGGGGGGTGGAGAGAGGGGAGGGTGGGGGTGAAAGTGGTGAGGGTGGTGAGAGTCGGAGGAGAAGGGGAGGGAATGGTGATGAGGATGAGGAGGAGGAGGAGGTGGAGGGGAGTGGGGGGCAGCGGCAGCGGTGTGTGGCGAGGCGGCATGCAGCCGTGCTGCTGGATGAGAGTCCCACCACGCACACACCGCACATGCTAAGGCTCAGAATACCCAAGGTGTGACGGTGCTGCTTTTGAGATTCCTCAATTGCAGCCGTGCTTCTGGATGGGAGCCCCGTGCAGTGCACACACGGCACATGCCAGGCTCAGAATATCCAAAGTGCGCTCCATCCATGCATGCCAGGCCCATGCACGCATTCCTCTCTGCCCACTGTCCCATTGTCTCGTGCCCTTCAGATCACTTCCTCCACCACACCTGCCAACCTTTCTCTACCTCCTCCATTACCCTTTCCCGTTCCCCCTTACTCATCATACAACACGGCAGCAGTGTGCGTGTGCGGGCGACATACATAGAGGCGATGGCAGGGCGGCACGGGCACACAATAAAAAACTCTTCAGTCTGTACCCTCTCCCTCTTCGCCACACAGGTACCACACGGCAGCAGTGTGCGCGTGCGGGTGACCTACATAGAGGCGATGGCGGGGCGGCAGGGGTACAGCGAGATGAGCTTGCCGCTGACAGTGCCCTTGGAGTGCGTGCCAGATGACCTGGCAGTGCAGGACGTGGTGCGCGTGAGCTGCACCATCAACAGCGGGCTGCAGTGCCCCATGAAGATTGGTGACTTCAACCACCCCATGAAGGTCAGTGAGGCGTGGGTGTGAGTGAGAAGTGCGGTGTGAGTGAGAAGTGCGGTGTGAGTGAGAAGTGCGGTGTGAGTGAGAAGTGCGGTGTGAGTGAGAAGTGCGGTGTGAGTGAGAAGTGCGGTGTGAGTGAGAAGTGCGGTGTGAGTGAGAAGTGCGGTGTGAGTGAGAAGTGCGGTGTGAGTGAGAAGTGCGGTGTGAGTGAGAAGTGCGGTGTGAGGAGGACTATGACCAGCACTGGCATTACAATTCTCGAATAATAACTATGTGTATTTACTATATCATGGTTTAGTGTGGTTCTAGTTCTCGTGGGTTTGGTGTTGCATCAATATCCCAACCTTACCCATTTGTGATCGACCGAAGTCTCCATCTCTCCAATGGGAGAATCCATTGAGGAGATCAATTTCAGTCCATCTCATTGCGGATTGCCTTTGAGTCCTCTCCCATCATTCTCATCTCTTGATGAATCGACCTTACCTCAGCTTCTAACCCATGCCCCATCTTCCTCCTCCTCCTTCCCCGCACCTCTCGCCCCTTGCACACACGCGCCACAATATGGATTCTTGAAATGACTTGTAATGTTTCACCATGCCGTTGCCCCGCATGTGCATGCGGCAGGTGGTGTGTGTGGACTTGGGGCGAGCCACGTTTGTGGGCCATCAGAGCGACGACGACCCCGAGGCCTGGCCCAATGCCGACTTCACCATCTCCTTCCAGGTGGGCGGCAATGCGGGCACCACAATTTCGGCTTCTGGCCTTCATTTTTTCCTTGTGCCTCAAAAATAGACACCCAAACGATGACGACCCTAAGACGTGGCCCAATGCCGGCCGCACCATCTCCTTCCACGTGGTTGGCATCGACCTGGGCTCAGCACTCTTGGCTCTCGCTGCTCTTTGGCTCACCCAGCACCTTGCACTGCCTTGCTTCCCTTTGTTTCATTGTGGCTCCAGTCTATCTAAGCTTGTTTCTTATGCTTTTAGATTTTGTTGCCCCTACACACGCGTGACGCGATGTAATGTGATGGTGTTGAGGAAACCAAATATATGTTGCTTGCAATGCAGTGTGATTTGATGATATGTATGACGATGTGGTAATGGCATGGTGGCATGCTGTTACTATGGCATGGTGGCATGCTGTTACTATGGCATGGTTGCTTGCTTGCATGATGACGGCATCATTGCATGGTGGCATGACGGCTTGGTTGGTTGGTGGCATCTTGTCATGACCCATGAGTCCCGTGATGGCACAGTGACATTGCATGGCGCCTGGTCGTCACAATGGCATCATGGCATGATGGCATGGCATGATGGCATGATGGCATGGCATCATGGCATGATGGCATGGCATGATGGCATGATGGCATGGCATGATGGCATGGCATGACACTGTGTGCCAGCAGGTGGTGACAGAGGACGTGAGTGCAGCAGTGCTCGTGCAAGCGCCTCTCATTGGAGACCCCGACCCCCGTGCCTCCTTCGCCCTTTCAATCGCGCCCCCCGATCCCGCCCAATTCTCGGTATGCTGCCTTCAAAGTGCGCCACCTTATCAGGGTGCCACATGCTTGTCTGCCACCTTATCAGGGTGCCACATGCTTGTCTGCCACCTTATCAGGGTGCCACATGCTTGTCTGCCACCTTATCAGGGTGCCACATGCTTGTCTGCCACCTTATCAGGGTGCCACATGCTTGTCTGCCACCTTATCAGGGTGCCACATGCTTGTCTGCCACCTTATCAGGGTGCCACATGCTTGTCTGCCACCTTATCAGGGTGCCACATGCTTGTCTGCCACCTTATCAGGGTGCCACATGCTTGTCTGCCACCTTATCAGGGTGCCACATGCTTGTCTGCCACCTTATCAGGGTGCCACATGCTTGTCTGCCACCTTATCAGGGTGCCACATGCTTGTCTGCCACCTTATCAGGGTGCCACATGCTTGTCTGCCACCTTATCAGGGTGCCACATGCTTGTCTGCCACCTTATCAGGGTGCCACATGCTTGTCTGCCACCTTATCAGGGTGCCACATGCTTGTCTGCCACCTTATCAGGGTGCCACATGCTTGTCTGCCACCTTATCAGGGTGCCACATGCTTGTCTGCCACCTTATCAGGGTGCCACATGCTTGTCTGCCACCTTATCAGGGTGCCACATGCTTGTCTGCCACCTTATCAGGGTGCCACATGCTTGTCTGCCACCTTATCAGGGTGCCACATGCTTGTCTGCCACCTTATCAGGGTGCCACATGCTTGTCTGCCACCTTATCAGGGTGCCACATGCTTGTCTGCCACCTTATCAGGGTGCCACATGCTTGTCTGCCACCTTATCAGGGTGCCACATGCTTGTCTGCCACCTTATCAGGGTGCCACATGCTTGTCTGCCACCTTATCAGGGTGCCACATGCTTGTCTGCCACCTTATCAGGGTGCCACATGCTTGTCTGCCACCTTATCAGGGTGCCACATGCTTGTCTGCCACCTTATCAGGGTGCCACATGCTTGTCTGCCACCTTATCAGGGTGCCACATGCTTGTCTGCCACCTTATCAGGGTGCCACATGCTTGTCTGCCACCTTATCAGGGTGCCACATGCTTGTCTGCCACCTTATCAGGGTGCCACATGCTTGTCTGCCACCTTATCAGGGTGCCACATGCTTGTCTGCCACCTTATCAGGGTGCCACATGCTTGTCTGCCACCTTATCAGGGTGCCACATGCTTGTCTGCCACCTTATCAGGGTGCCACATGCTTGTCTGCCACCTTATCAGGGTGCCACATGCTTGTCTGCCACCTTATCAGGGTGCCACATGCTTGTCTGCCACCTTATCAGGGTGCCACATGCTTGTCTGCCACCTTATCAGGGTGCCACATGCTTGTCTGCCACCTTATCAGGGTGCCACATGCTTGTCTGCCACCTTATCAGGGTGCCACATGCTTGTCTGCCACCTTATCAGGGTGCCACATGCTTGTCTGCCACCTTATCAGGGTGCCACATGCTTGTCTGCCACCTTATCAGGGTGCCACATGCTTGTCTGCCACCTTATCAGGGTGCCACATGCTTGTCTGCCACCTTATCAGGGTGCCACATGCTTGTCTGCCACCTTATCAGGGTGCCACATGCTTGTCTGCCACCTTATCAGGGTGCCACATGCTTGTCTGCCACCTTATCAGGGTGCCACATGCTTGTCTGCCACCTTATCAGGGTGCCACATGCTTGTCTGCCACCTTATCAGGGTGCCACATGCTTGTCTGCCACCTTATCAGGGTGCCACATGCTTGTCTGCCACCTTATCAGGGTGCCACATGCTTGTCTGCCACCTTATCAGGGTGCCACATGCTTGTCTGCCACCTTATCAGGGTGCCACATGCTTGTCTGCCACCTTATCAGGGTGCCACATGCTTGTCTGCCACCTTATCAGGGTGCCACATGCTTGTCTGCCACCTTATCAGGGTGCCACATGCTTGTCTGCCACCTTATCAGGGTGCCACATGCTTGTCTGCCACCTTATCAGGGTGCCACATGCTTGTCTGCCACCTTATCAGGGTGCCACATGCTTGTCTGCCACCTTATCAGGGTGCCACATGCTTGTCTGCCACCTTATCAGGGTGCCACATGCTTGTCTGCCACCTTATCAGGGTGCCACATGCTTGTCTGCCACCTTATCAGGGTGCCACATGCTTGTCTGCCACCTTATCAGGGTGCCACATGCTTGTCTGCCACCTTATCAGGGTGCCACATGCTTGTCTGCCACCTTATCAGGGTGCCACATGCTTGTCTGCCACCTTATCAGGGTGCCACATGCTTGTCTGCCACCTTATCAGGGTGCCACATGCTTGTCTGCCACCTTATCAGGGTGCCACATGCTTGTCTGCCACCTTATCAGGGTGCCACATGCTTGTCTGCCACCTTATCAGGGTGCCACATGCTTGTCTGCCACCTTATCAGGGTGCCACATGCTTGTCTGCCACCTTATCAGGGTGCCACATGCTTGTCTGCCACCTTATCAGGGTGCCACATGCTTGTCTGCCACCTTATCAGGGTGCCACATGCTGCCTAGGTGCCACATGCTTGTCTGCCACCTTATCAGGGTGCCACATGCTTGTCTGCCACCTTATCAGGGTGCCACATGCTTGTCTGCCACCTTATCAGGGTGCCACATGCTTGTCTGCCACCTTATCAGGGTGCCACATGCTTGTCTGCCACCTTATCAGGGTGCCACATGCTTGTCTGCCACCTTATCAGGGTGCCACATGCTTGTGTGCCACCTTATCAGGGTGCCACATGCTTGTGTGCCACCTTATCAGGGTGCCACATGCTTGTGTGCCACCTTATCAGGGTGCCACATGCTTGTCTGCCACCTTATCAGGGTGCCACATGCTTGTCTGCCACCTTATCAGGGTGCCACATGCTTGTCTGCCACCTTATCAGGGTGCCACATGCTTGTCTGCCACCTTATCAGGGTGCCACATGCTTGTCTGCCACCTTATCAGGGTGCCACATGCTTGTCTGCCACCTTATCAGGGTGCCACATGCTTGTCTGCCACCTTATCAGGGTGCCACATGCTTGTCTGCCACCTTATCAGGGTGCCACATGCTTGTCTGCCACCTTATCAGGGTGCCACATGCTTGTCTGCCACCTTATCAGGGTGCCACATGCTTGTCTGCCACCTTATCAGGGTGCCACATGCTTGTCTGCCACCTTATCAGGGTGCCACATGCTTGTCTGCCACCTTATCAGGGTGCCACATGCTTGTCTGCCACCTTATCAGGGTGCCACATGCTTGTCTGCCACCTTATCAGGGTGCCATATGCTTGTCTGCCACCTTATCAGGGTGCCACATGCTTGTCTGCCACCTTATCAGGGTGCCACATGCTTGTCTGCCACCTTATCAGGGTGCCACATGCTTGTCTGCCACCTTATCAGGGTGCCACATGCTTGTCTGCCACCTTATCAGGGTGCCACATGCTTGTCTGCCACCTTATCAGGGTGCCACATACTTGTCTGCCACCTTATCAGGGTGCCACATACTTGTCTGCCACCTTATCAGGGTGCCACATGCTTGTCTGCCACCTTATCAGGGTGCCACATACTTGTCCCAACTTGAATCTCCTCTGCATCTGCCCTACCTCCCCTTTCTGACCACCTTCCCATGTCCTACCAAACTGGTAGCGTCAACCCCGTTTCCACCCGAAAGTACGCCTTTGCATGCCTCCAATGCGCCTGTGTCGCCACTCTGTAACACATCTCTCTTCCTCTCCACCTCGTCCCTCCCATCGCCCCTCACACCCCCCATCAGTTGTTTAGCCGGGCAGTCACAGGGCTGCGAGGCCATATCACCTCTTTCCAGCGCAACCCTTCCTTTACCAATCATCCCCCCCTCCACCCCCCTCCATCCCTCGACAGGTGTTCAGCCGGGCAGTCGTCTTCATCCTCGACAGCGAGTGCGGGTTAAGGGCCCGCCCCATGGAGGACGCACGCAGGGCGGTGGCAGCGGCACTGAGGCGCTTAAAGCCCCATGACTCGTTCGCGGTGGTGGCGTTTGACTTTGAGCTGCTGCTGCTGGGTGATCTGAGCTTGAAACTGCCTCGCCACTTCCACTGCAACCCTCCCTTCCCGGGTCATCCTTCCCACTCCCATCCAACCCCGTCCACCCTTTTCCACCCTTTCCCACCGCTCTCCACCCACAGGTGTTCAGCCGGGCAGTCGTTTTCATACTCGACAGCGAATGCGAGTTAAGAGCCCGCCCCATGGAGGACGCGCGCAGGGCGGTGGCAGCGGCGCTGAGGCGCTTAAAGCCGCACGACTCGTTCGCGGTGGTGGCGTTTGACTTTGAGCTGCTGCTGCTGGGTGATCTGAGCTTGAGGCTGCCTCGCCTCTTTCCACTGCAACCCTCCCTTCCTCGGTCGCCCCTCCCACCCCCACCAACCACTCCACCCCCCTCCACCCCTCGGCAGGTCTTCAGCCGGGCAGTGGTGTTCATTCTCGACAGCGAGTGCGGCCTGAGGGGTCGCCCAATGGAAGACGCGCGCAGGGCAGTAGCCGGAGCACTAAAACGCTTAAAGCCGCACGACTCGTTCGCAGTGGTGGCGTTTGACTTTGAGCTGCTGCTGCTGGACGACGAGCTCGAGGCCGCCTCGCCTGAGGCGGTGCGGCGGGCGTGCAAGTTCGTGCTGCAGGCGCATGACTGGGCGCAGCCCACCAACGTACTCACACCGCTGCAGCTGGTGGGTGGAAAGGGGTGAGCGTGGATTGGGAGGAGTGAGATGGGTTGAGGATGAGTAGAGGCTGCCTCACCTGAGGCGGTTCGCAGGGCGTGCAATTCTGTGCTGCAAACGCATGGCTGGGTGCAGCCAACTAATGTGCTCACGCCGCAGCAGCTGGTGGGTGGAGAGCGGTGGGAGTGGGTGGAGGATGGTGAGTGTGATTGAGAGGGGTGAGATGGGGTGACGATGAGCTCGAGGCTGCTTCACCTGAGGCGGTGATGAGGGCATGCAAGTTCGTGCTGCAAGCTCATCACAGCCTGCTAATGTGCTCACGCCGTTGCAACTGGTGGGTGGAGAGCGGTGCAAGTGGGTAGAGATTGGTGAGTGTGGGTTGGGAGGAATTAGATGGGGTTAGAATGAGTAAAATCTGTTTCCAGCTTTCGTAGTTAACCCTGCATGGCATGGCATTCCCTCAGCTCATAATTGCTCCCTGGCTTCGTACCTGGCACCTGCATCCCCCATCCCACACCCCATCCATGACCCACCTTGTGTTTCTCCCATGGCCCCACCAGGCGTTCAGGATGCTGAGGGGCCACACGGCAGCGCTGCAGCAGGTGGTGCTCATCACGGACGGCCCGGTGCGGGCGGAGCGCCGCGTGTGCCACTGGGTGCAGCGCGCCCTGGCTGACTGGGGGGGCACCGCCCCTCGCATCTCCACCTTGGGCATCGGTATGAGTATTGGGTTGGCCTTTTACGAGTATAGAGCCATCGGCGATCGCTATGTAAGAGCCATTGGCACGAGCAAGGGCCGAGCCCAGCCAGAGACAAGCCTGGGAGCGTGAGGTAACCTACCAGTGTGGATCATGGCGCGTCCCGACTAGCGAGCTGGAGGGGAAGGAGCGGGGCTCGCGACAAGCCGGACTGGTTCGTCCTCTGCTACTAGCCAGCACGAATCTGGCTTTGTGGTTGCTTCATGACTGGACACCAGGATCTGGTGCTTCATGACTGGTCATTTTAAGAGCCACAACCCCCTCATGCCCTCCATCCTACACCCATGCCAACAACCACTCCCATCGTCCCATTTCTCCCATTCCACCCCCCCGTGCCATGCCCCTATCAGGCCCATCGGTGAATCCTTTCTTCCTCAAGTGGCTTGCTGCTGCAACCCGCGGTTCCTCACAGGTCACCCGCAATCCAGGTGCCACCCGGTTCTTACCCTTGGCAGCCTGTCTCATTCGTCTACCTGCAGCAGGGCAGTCATTGCCGATTCGATGCAAAAGCACACTCTCTGCCTGCCACCTGCGTCCACCCCATCGTCACCAACCCCTCCTCTCATCCCTTACTCCCGTCACATTATTATGCGTACTCCCCCATACCCTTCTCGTGACTTATATCCATCCCCACCACTGATCCCCACACCCCCTCTCCATCTCCCATCCCCAACCGGTCCTCCCCCCAGCGGAGGTGCGCAGACGGCTGGATAGAATGAGACAATGGCCCGCCCACTTGTCACCAACATTGCCTTCCAATCCTCCCATCCGCTGCACTATGCGCACTTCCCCCATACCCATATCCACTCCCACACACATCCCCACCCCCCATCCCACCCGCACCCCACACCCATCCTCCCACCAGCGGAGGTGTGCAGGCGGCTGGATGGATTGCTGCAGGCCATGCGCATCCTTCATACCCATTTCCACTCCCACTCCCCATCCCAACCCTCCATCTCCCATCCCCCACCCGCGGCCCCTTTCTCCCCCCAGCGGAGGTGCGGCGGCGGCTGGATGGAATGCTGCAGACCATGGCCCGCCCGCTCGTCACCAACATTGCCATCCGCGACCTGCCGCCCGCCTGTGAGGTGAGGTGAGGGGTGGGGGAAGGCGAGGTGAGGGGCGGGGCGAGGTGAGGGGGGTATAGCATTGCAGATGGCGTGGACTAGTTAAGGTCATGGCCCGCCCGCTCGTCACCAACATTGCCTTTCACGACCTGCCGCCCGCCTGTGAGGTGAGGTGAGGGGTGGGGGAAGGCGAGGTGAGGGGCGGGGCGAGGTGAGGGGGGTATAGCATTGCAGATGGCGTGGACTAGTTAAGGTCATGGCCCGCCCGCTCGTCACCAACATTGCCTTTCACGACCTGCCGCCCGCCTGTGAGGTGAGGTGAGGGATAGGTGAGGTGAAGCGGGGGGGGGGGGGGAAGTGAGGAAGAGTTGAGGCGTGAAGGGGGGATAGCGTGGCAGATAGCCCGGTCAATGTAAGGAGGAGTCTTGGGGTCTGGTTGGGTGGTACACACGGCATCTCAACCTCTCCAGAGATTTCCAGTCATTAGTTGGATAACGAGCGACCATTAGTTGGAAATTGCCTTGTTTCTTCTTTTCCTTCCATCCTCTCCTATTCATACCTTAATTAATCTATCCAACTCGACCTCCTTGATTACAGCCACCTGCTGCTCTCACGTGACCCCCCCCACGTGACCCCCACGTGATCTCCATGTGATCCCCACGTGATCCCCACGTGATCCCCACGTGATCCCCATGTGACCCGCACACAATTCTCATATATCTCACTGGGCCAAAAATGCCACCCACCACACCCATCCCCACTCCACCCGCACCAGCTCTACCCCTACCCCATCCCGGACCTCTACGCATCGGGGCCGGTCGTGGTGAGCGGCCGAATGGGCGACGAGGGGCCAGCAGCAGGCGGAGCGGAGGGCGGAGGGGGTCTGCCACTGCACGTGGAGCTGAGGGGCGTGCTGGCCAGTGGGGCTCCGTGGAAGTTCAGATCTGCCCTCTCCGATGCCGGCAACCTGCCGCTCACATCGGTACGCCCCCGCCCTCTCTGCCCCTCTCCTCCGTATGCCTGCCCATGCCCTCTCTGCCCCTCTCCTCCGTATGCCCATGCGCTCTCTGCCCCTCTCCTCCGTATGCCCATGCGCTCTCTGCCCCTCTCCTCCGTATGCCCATGCGCTCTCTGCCCCTCTCCTCCGTATTCCCATGCGCTCTCCTGTCTGTGCCCTCGCCCTCTCCTCCGGATGTTCCGTTTTCCATGCAGTTAAGAACCTTCGCTCACTCATCTATCTCCCTCCCACTGCCAACTTCTCCGCCTCCGCACCATTCTCACTTCCGCTCGCCCTTCTGCACCCCCCTGCACCCTCCTGCACCGCTGTCACCGCGGGCACATGGCATCAGGCGGGGGCGGGCGAGCGGGTGGCCATCCTCACTGCTGATGCATGGCTGCACGGCGACCCACAGCTGCAGCAGGCGGTGCGTGACGTGCTTGTGCTGTGCTGTAGGATGCTGTGCAGTTCTGTGCGGTGCTTTTTTGTTCTGTGTGGCCATCCTCACTGCCGATGCATGGCTGCACGGCGACCCACAGCTGCAGCAGGCTGTATGTGACTTTCTTCTCTTGTTTGGTGCTGTGCTGTGCTGTATGGTTTTGTTTGCTTGCTGCAGTGCGCATTGTCCTTGTGCAAAGCAGAGAAGGCGATGTACGGGGACGTGGGGAATGTCCCTTTTTGCCACCATTTCGCTGCTTCAATGCAGCAGGCATTGCGACTCTCTCATTCCTGTTCGCCAACCTCAGCGATTCCCCTCATTGTACACCCATCCCATGCACATGCCCATGCCTCCTTTGTTCCCCTGCATGCCATGCCACGCCCACAGGCATGTGCGATGAGTGTGGGAGCGTCAGTGGTATCAGAGCACACACGCATGCTGCTGCTCGACACCACCCGGCCTCTGCTGGACCAGCTGCACACCGATCAGCTGCAGGTGCGGTGATGATGGGTGCTGAGGGGTGGGTGACTGCTCCAAGGGGTTCATGGTTGCTGAATGGTGGGTGCTGCTGGGTACTGGTGGGTATTGGTGGTTGGAGGCTGACTGGTATGGGAGGGGGAGGGTGTGTTGGATGATGAATGGGCAGGTACGATGTGTGCAGGTATGATGTGTGCAGGTATGATGTGTGCAGGTATGATGTGTGCAGGTACGATGTGTGCAGGTATGATGTGTGCTGGTAGTGCAGGCAGCATGGCTGGCACACCCCTTTCACCGTGCATACAGTAGCATGCAAGGTAAGGATAGTTTGCTGCAGTGTGCGTGGCAGGCCATGTAAGGGCAGCACAGCGAAGCAGCTGTGCTGGTCAAACAGCCAATGCCCACTCTCACTCCAGCACGTTTCATCCTCGTACCCTCTCCAAACATATTCTGCTGCCCATGCCCCACCGTCCCTCTCCTGAACTGACATCCCCCCAGGGCCACGTGAAGCCTCTACTCCACTATCTCCGGTCGCCCACCGCCCCTGTCACCATGGTTCCGGGCCTCACGGCTGGGTTCGGAAGCACCCAGGCCCGCCCTGCTTCCACCAAACCAATCGGGGAGGTTCGGGGTCAGCAGCGGCAGCACAGGCGCATGGGTTCGTGTGTGTCATCAGGCGAGTGGGAGTACGATGAGGGCGAGGAGGACGGCCATGACCGGTTGCTCGTCCCGCCCTCGCTGTTGCAAAGCATTCTAGGAAGCGTACTCGCTTGTTACCGTCCCAAATTTAGGTAATCACCCGTCTGTCAAGCCTATGCTGAGAGAAAGAAGCTGGTGGGTTAAGATTTTCCTAACAGTGCAGCAACAGCTGATCCAGTTGCTCTCTTATCCCAAACCGTGCTGAAGCAGTGGCAGCAGCAAGCTTTGTATCAAAATAAAGGAAGCCTTTCAATCTGTGCACTGGTATTCAAGAAACAAACCTGAACATATGGATACCGTACTATACTTTGATCAGCACAAATTTGATTGCTCAGGACACAGTAGCAAATTTACAAAGCCCACAAAGCCCACTGCGATGCCCAGTTGACCTCCAGTCATCCCTAGTTCAGAGTTTGAACCAGCAGCACGACTGACTGTCAACTGAGGACCGAGCCACGTTCAGGTAACGTGAAGAATTACACCTTTGTGTAGGTGGGAATCAGGACTTTATTCACGCCGTGGGCAATGAAGTACGGTCCAGCGTATAGCCTCACAATCTGGATCGTCGTCCACGCGGCAGGGGGGGCGTTGGGAGTCTTGGCGAAGGAAATGGTGTTACCATTCTGCACCGAAACCTTGTACATCGCCTGCTTCAGCTGCGTTCCCAGTGGCTGCGATTTCTTGAGCACCTTGAGCGCGGGAACGGTGTACTTCTTGCGGATGATGTGGTACGCGGTGATGTTGTAGATTTTAGGGATGATGGCGCTGTTAGCGGGGACCTTCTTAGCGAGGGCCTCCGTGTCGCTGGGAAGTAGGAGGGTTGCGTCACTGAGAGCTGTGAAATCGTACTTCGAGTTCACTAGAGATGGAAAGAGAGGGAAAGGGGGGACAGAGGGAGAGAAGGCGGAAAAAACAGGTTCAATATCTGAGCGCGATTTCGAGTACTAGGGTTACAGGCTGGTAAAGAGAATTTAACAGGATTCGAGGTGAGAGAGAAGAGATAAATGTGCGAATCGCATTCTCGGTCGGACAACGAAAGGTCACTTCCGGATACGAAGACGAAGAGGAACGATGACCACTAAAAGGGTATTCTGCCGGAATTCGAAGCAAATCCAAATTATGGAATTTCTTCTTCCGTTCTGAACGAGAAGCGAGCGAGGCTAACCGCAGTAATAGGAAAATAATGCAGATTTAAAGTCCTTACATGCTAGGCCGATGTACTTGTTGATGTCCTTGGCGTATTTCGCGTATTGCGGGTACTTCTTGGTGATGGTGTTCGCCATGTTCTGCAGCTCCGCTTTGATTTGCGCCTTCGTGGGCTTCGCCTGTGCGTGAGCACTGGCGAAGCATAGCACGATGCAGAGCAGGCCGAAGAGCGGAATGCACCGTGAAGTGGTCATATTTCGCGAATATGTACACGATGTTCTCTAAGAAATTGTTTGGTTGGGTGGCTGTGGAAAGCGAGTATCAAGTGTCGGGCCAGGTTGCTGGAGAAAGTTAGGGCGCGTATGTGGGATTGAAAGTGATTGTAGTTGGATGATAGCGAGTATCAAGTCAAGGAGGCACGAATGTGAATTGGATGAAGGATTCGAGGCACGAATCGTCATTTGTATCTGAGTAGGGGGCTGTAAGCGCGTCAACATTTGCCGACATGCGGCGCGGGAAGCGGTGAAGTGGTTTCGCGATACAGCATTCCTTCATGACGAAAGTGTCGGTAACTCGCAATTCGGTCGCAACTCCAGACAGGAATCTGTCGCGAAGCCACGACACCTCGCTGGGCTGGGTTTGAGGTGGTGGCGGCAATTGGTCGGTTGAAGTCGCGGTCCGCGTGGGGCTAGGGCGCAAATTCAATGGCATTCCATCCCCATTCTCAAGTTGGCGTGCCGGTCTCGGTGTATCTTTCTTGATATGAGCGTATAAGGGCGTGTCCCATGAGTTCATTTGGGGAGAAAATCATATATTTTACGTAACTTCGACAAAGCAAAAGAGTGTACACTCTGACGTGAAAAACACGCAGCGCGTCAGCACAGCGCCAAACGAAATTGACCCACGCGGACTCATAGCCCCACCCACACAAAAATCGTCATCCGAACATGGGCCGCGAGCGGTAACCTGCCACAGTGCGAATCAACTGTGCCCCTTGCGAAATTTAGTTTTTTCTTCGCGCGACTGAATGTGCGCGAAGTCTCCGATTGGGGTAACGGAATGGAGGACCCGGTACGAAGTGATCTCACGTACCTTGTACGTGGGGTAGTACGAACATCTTGACGTCCTAGGCGTGTCATCCGGTGCGTCATTGAAGACGCATGTCATGCAGGTAAGGGTTACAGACGGGAAACAGGGTTACAACACTGAACTTGATCTGTAAACGAACTCGTGGGACACGCCCTAACACACTTTCCACTTCAATGATGCAACACAACTTGATCCATCCTTCCTTGAATCCTTGTGAACAGTTCATACCAGGTGCAGTAAATGTAACTCTTCATGCAAACAGTCATGGTATTCAGCATGGTATGCGAGGAGGCATGTCCTTCAGTTTACTTTTGGCAAGCCATAAACTTTCGACCAGTGAGAGAGGTGAGGGGTTGGGTTCGAACTTGTCGCTGTGTCCGAAGTCCGAGAGACCCTGTTATTTGGTTACCACATTGTACCTTTTATAAACTTTTGGCCTTTCCCCTGCCAAATGTATACCGCTGCTTTAAGACCCCCCAAGAGTGCAATCGGCATGAAATACCATGGGAAATTTATCACGTGTACCAAGAGAACACAGTGCTTTAACGAATAAAAGCGCAGGTGCACCATGGGTCCACCAATGTTTGAATATAAACTATAAGCGCATGAGACAATGAAAAGGTATGTTTTTAGTGCAAAAAATCCTCTTCATCGAGCTGGAAAATATTACCACCCTCTGCCTCCCCCTCTGCCTCCCCCTCTGTATCTACAACTCGTACCCCCTCCACACCATCCCCTCCTCCCCCGCCGGCCCCGCCCCCCTCTGCTAGCTTTGAGACGTCTCAACACTGGAGCATTACCATCCTCTGCCTCCTCTCCCTCCCCCTCTACCCCCGTATCTGCCACTGCTACTCCCTCCAAACCCTCCGCCCCTCCTCCCCCGTCTGCCCCGCCCGCCCCTGCCCCCTTCGTAGCTCCCCTCGGGGTCTGCAGCTGGTTGGAAGCTGAACAGTGATTGGCGCAGCTGCTCCGATGCTGACGTGGCAGTGGGAGGCGTGTGGTGTGCGTGTGGAGGTGTGTGGGCTGCGTGTGCCTGGGGAGGGCGAGGAGGTGGGGGTTGACAGTGGGAGATGGAGGGAATGAGATAGAGTGAGGTGACACTGGGAGATGGGGGGTGACAGTGGGAGATGGACGGGTGACAGTGATGGAGGGGTGACAGTGGGATGGAGGGGTGACAGCAGGAGATGGAGGGGTGACAGCAGGAGATGGAGGGGTGACAGCAGGAGATGGAGGGGTGACAGCAGGAAATGGAGGGGTGACAGCAGGAGATGGAGGGGTGACAGCAGGAGATGGAGGGGTGACAGCAGGAAATGGAGGGGTGACAGCAGGAAATGGAGGGGCATGAGAGTGGGTAAACGAGCGAGTGGGTATGGAGCGGCCACAGGAAAAGGGACAAGGAAGAGCAGAGCAAAGGGTGTGCAACTTACAAATCCCCCCATGTCCTCCATATCCAGCTCCGCCTGCAGCTTCCTCGCAAGTTCCTCATCTGACATCACTTGTGATGCACTGCTTACATCTACCCTCCCTCCACTCCCTCCCATTCCGCCCATCCCTCCCGTTCCTCCCGTCATCCCCCCCACCCCTCTTCCCCCTCCTTGCCTCCCCATAGCCTTCCTCGCCTCATATTCCTCTAGTGTCATCGTTCCCTCATCCTCCTCCTCCCGGCCCCTCCTCCCCCTCCCCCTTCCCCCACGGCCCCCCCGCCTGCCCCTGCCTCGCCCCTGCTCCTCCCCCATCTTCTCCAGAAGCTTCCTGGAAGCGCTCCTGTCGTGTGGGGCAGCGTGCTTGAGAGCAGCAGCAGCCTCAACTCTCGCCCGCTCCACCGCCCTCTCCCTCGCTGCCTCTGCTGCTGCCCCTGCCTCCCCCGCCTCTGCCGACCCTCCGCCCCCCTCTCTCGCTGCTGTACCTGCTACTGCTGCTGCCGCTGCTGCAGGGGCAGAGCCGGCAGCACTGGCCTCACCCCCACGCCCTCCTGCCGGCCCCCCACCTGCTGCTCCAGACACATGCGTGCCGGCAGGTGCGCTGCCAGGCATACTGGCAAGTGTGCTGGCAGTCGTGGCAGTCGTGGCAGTCGTGGCAGTCGTGGCAGTCGTGGCAGTCGTGGCAGTCGTGACAGTCGTGACAGCTGATGTTGCTTGCAGGCGTGCGTCTGTGACCCCGCGGAAGGGAGGCGGGCCCGCAGATGCACCGGGGAGAGAGGAGGCGAGGGCGGACACAGAGGGGGCGCGGGAGGAGCGGGAGGAGGAGGAGGAGGCAGAAGGGGTGAGGGCGGGGAGGAGGGCGTAGCGGCGCTGCATGTCCCACTCGTCGTAGAGAGGGGCCACGCGGCCGCCCAGCACTTGCACGGTCTGCGGGTCCAGCAGGATGAAGCCGTGGCGGATGATGGGGGCCGTGAGGAGCAGCTGGATGGGAGGGGGGGGAGGCAGGGAGGCAGGGGGACAGGGAGGTAGGGAGGGAAAGGAGAATAGCACTGGATCTCGACAGTAGCTGCATTTGTAGGTGGAAAGCAGTTGCTGTTCCTGCTTGAAAGGCGTTGCATGCATGCATGCATGCATGGTGTCATGGTGTCATGGTGACCACACTAAGTACCTTGGTGCCCGGAGCAAGAGCCATCGGCACGTGCGGGCAGGGGTGCATCTCCACAGCACTCGCACTCCTCTTGCCGTCCGTCACCCGCATGCGCAGCAGCCTTCGCCCCCCACTGCTGCCGCCATTGCGACCCACAGCACCTCGCCCTCCCAGCCCATCCACACCAACGGCGGAAGCAGCAGCAGAGGGAGCAGTGGGGGCGGTTTGTCTGTCGTCGTCCTCCCAGCGGTCATCCTCGTCAGCGGCAGCGGCGGCTGACTCAGCGTCCTCCCCGCCTCTGGGCTCGCACACATTTACGGCTGACACTACCTGGCGGGGAGAGAGGGGGCGCGGGCAGCAGGGGGAGCGCGAGGAGTGCAGAGCAAGGTGACTCAGCGCCCTCCCCGCCCCTGGGCTCGCACACGCTCACGGCTGAGACCACCTGGCGGGGCGCAAGGAGGGCGCAAGGAGGGCGCAAGGAGGGCGCAAGGAGGGCGTGGAGAGAAGGGGGGCCGGAGAGCGAGGCGGGAGCACGGGGAGTGAAGGGGGACGTAGGGGAGCAAAGAAAGCGCGGGGAGCAAGGGCGAGGGCGGGGAGCAAGGGGAGTGCGAAGAGAGGGGTGCGGAAGGCAAGGGCTGCGGATTCACCTGCACGACGAGCTTCCCCGGCAGGCAGTGGTACTCGGCGCGGTTCACGACGTCCGGCAAGCACCCCTCGCCGAACCGAGTTGATGTTTGAGTCGACTCAGAAGGGGCAGCGGAGGGCACTCACCTGCAGGGGCAGTGGGACAGTGGGCATCGCACGGGACTCACCTGCACGACGAGCTTCCCCGGCAGGCGGCGGTACACGGCACGATTCACGTCGTCCGGCAAGCACCCCTCGCCGAACCGCCGCAGGTCCAGGTCTAGCGCCGCCGCGCGCACCTGCTGCGCCGACATCGGCGCGCTCTGCGTTGCGCCAACTGGCTGCCCCGCCGAGGACGCGGAAGCGGCGGAGGCGGGGGAGGCTTGCGGATCCGGTGCGCCGCCGTCCGCGGAGGGGGGTTTCGCGGCGAGCAGTGCGAGCAGCGCGTGCGGGGAGACGTGCCAGCCGTCGCCCTCCAGGGCGGCCAGCGCCGCGGGCGACACCAATGGCGGTGCCGCCATGCTGCCGGGCAGTGCGCGCGCCGCGCGTGACGATTACTGCTTGGCGCGGTCGAGCAGCGCTGGGTTTAGTGTTCCGCGGGCCCCGCGCAAAGTAGAGGGTCGCGGTTCACATTCGTCACGCCCTACTGACGTTCCGGAGGAGCAGCGATCGTGGTGATAACGCGTGATTACTACTCTAGCTGCACGAGCGACGTGGCTTCCACATGGGGATCGGTAAACAATTTACGACGTGTTGCAAACCAGCTCGATTGGATTGGTTCGGGTCAGCCTTGGCAGAACCCATCGCACCCACTGGCGTTGGATCGGGTCGCGTGAATCCATGAACCTGAGCTGCAACACGTAGTTGGAGGGTGGATGGCCGGTTGTGTAGATCTTAAAACCGTACTGTAACTAGGCTGTTTGTGCTGGAAACCTACAGAACCGACGATAACGCTGTCCTATGCCAACCTATTGCCAAGAGGTTCAAAGGACGGATGAATGAGCAGTTTTACGGGGGATGTGTTTGTTGGCTTTGGAAGTCAGGGCAGGTCAGGGGTTGGTGCGATCGAAATTTCGTACAGCAGCACGAGAGTTCCTGCTTCCCCAAATGAGTTTCGTTCAATGGTTTCTTTCGGGTAACCAGGAAACCTCACAGGAGAGTCATCGTGGGTCGCAAACAAACGTCTCGAAGTGAACACGTCCTTTGCGGAGCAGCCTCGATATCTCCTCCTGTTGATGTGATTTCTTGATCAACGTGAAGCTTCTACGATTTTAGTGTGGATACAGCGGAAGTTCGTGGAGCGGGGCGTAGGGTTACTTCCGCAATGGTAAGACATTTCGGGACTCTAACGCGGCAGGTTCCAAGCTAAGCCTCTCGACTGCCTTTCTCGGTCCCCTCACGCTACTGCCGTCCCGCTTTCCGTAATATCGGTTTCTTCACGCCCATCCTCCACTTGCCGCTTACGATTTCCCCCGTTTCGAGCCGACTCAATATCCGCTTTCCCCCGCTACCTGCCGTCACGCTCTTTCCTAACCATAGCTGTCGCTGTCGCGCTCTCGTCTCCCGCTCCCATTCCTCCTTGTAGCTTCACCCCTCTTCTCCCGCTTCCAATCCCCTCTCCTGCCCTACCCCTTGTCTCTCGCTCTCATCCTCTCTGACTCCTCACCCTTCGTCTCCCATTCCCAAATCCCCCATGTAACTTCACCCGTCATTTCCGGCCTTATGGCCTTCCCTTCCCCCTACTCTCCTCCACCTCTCCCCCGCCTTTCGCCCGCTTTCCTCATTCCCCCCCGCCTCTTTCCCCCCCCCCGCCCCTCTCCCCCCCGCCTCTCTCCCCCCCAGCCCTCATCCTTCAACAACGCCCAACCAGGACAAGACAGGCGGGCGCTCACCTTTTTCCCCACCATTCCCCCAATCGCCCTTCCCCCACCTCCTCCCCCCAGTCCTCATCCTTCAATCAACAGGTCGCCAGGCCAATCTGTGCACAACCGGGGGAAGACAGCTGCAGAAGACCTACCCTTTTCCCACCTTTTCCCACCTTTCCCCACCTTTCCCCACCTTTCCCCACCTTTCCCCCCCATTTCCCCCTTTCCCTCCCCACCTCTCCCCCCCACCCCAGTCCTCGTCCTTCAACAGGTCGCCTGGCCAGTCCGTGCACAACCGGGGAAAAACAGCAGGGTCAGGCGGAGCAAGCCGGGTTGCTGCTGCTGCTGCGCCTGAAACATGGTTGCCCGAGAGTGCACTCACCAGCGGTGCCCCGACCGTTTCCCCCACAAGTGCTGGAGCTCCCAATCGTCCCTCTTGTATTGGGAGTGAAGGTATTGGGAGTGCTGCAGGGGTGTGGCTAGGCGCAGCGGGGGATGGAGCAGTGGGATGGGGGGGGAGAGGCGAGGAGACAGACAGAGAGTTGAGAGAGGAAGATTCTGTGCCGCTGCTGCCCAAGCGGCTTCACTTTGACCAGCTGTCAGCCCCAACCCCGGGCGTGGCCTCATTCCCAGCCTCGGTTCCTGTCACTGGCTCGAGCCCGGTCCTTTTGCAACAACATCCCCACGGCCACGGCCCAGAAAAGCAACAGGAACCGCTGTACCAGCAGCACCAGCAGCACCAGCAGCAACAGCATCACCTGCAGCATCAGCAGCAACTGCAGGAACTGCAGCAGCAGCAGGTATCACAGCAGAAGCAGAAGCAGCAGCAGCAGGCAGGGCAGCAGCAGCGTTCAGAGTATCGGGACGTGGAGAGCACGGATGGGGCGAGCTACGATGTGCTGTGCTGGGCGTGCGGCCTCTGCCTCTCCCTCCCCTCCTTCTCCCCCAACTTCAAATGCGGCTACTGCGGAGCTCTCACGCTCCATCTCCACTCCTCGCCCTCCGCTTCCTCCTCCTCCGCCTCCGCTTCATCCTCCTCCTCCCCTGCGTCCAAGGCTGCTACAGAGTCGGAGAAGCCGTTGAGGAGGAGGAGGTGCAGGGCGTGCATGGCAGCATGGGATATGCTGGTGCTCACTGTGGTCATTCTTCTCATCTCGTTTATTATTGGTGAGCACAACAAGGTGTGGGTGGGTGTTGTTGACTTTTTTTTTTATATTGTTTGTTTCACATCTCCACCACTGTTTCCATCGCCTCTCCTATCCACCCTTTATCAAATGCATTCTCCCTCTCCCCGTCAGCTCCTCCCTTCCCCTCGTCTCCAATCCCCTCATCTCCTCTCTCTCCGCCCTGCCTTTGCACTTGCTGGCACTCTCACCCCCTGCCTCCCCATCGTCACTCCCCTCCACCCGCTGACAGCTGTAACTTCTCCCCACCCCCCGTCATCCCTTCCGATCTGCTCCTTTCTCCTCATCCTCTCTCCTTCCATCCCCGCCCTTCCCTCTCCACTACCCTGCCCAGGCTGCCCTTCTCCTCCCTTCCCTCCCGTCTCCATCTGGTGGCATCCTCACCACGTTGCATCCTCACCACGTTGCATCCTCACCACGTTGCATCCTCACCACGTTCCCCTCTGTTTTTGGCTCGCTTGAAGAACAGACAGATTCCTCATCACCTATCCCATCCACCTTCTATCTTTTGCCTCTTCTCACTCTTCTTGTCTTCCTCCCTCCCTTCTCCAGTTGGCGGCATCCTCACCACCTTCCCCATCATCTGTCCCCTCCACCCTCCCTTCTCCCACCACTACCCACCTCCTCCGCCTCGTCTCCTCCCCGTGCCTCTCCCCTTCCTCCTGCACGCGCTAATCACGCTCCTCCTCTCCCTTCAAACCGTCTTCAACTTCCTCTGCTCCGCTCTCCTCCCCGCCGGCCCAGTCACCCGTGTTGCTTTCGGCTCTGCAGACATGCCAACTGTATCGGCAGGTAAGTCTGAACTTTCAATTGAGTCATCAGGTGTTGCTCTCCCGTTTCCTCCTTCCTCTCCTCTGCTCCGCTCCCCTCCTGGCCGGCCCAGTCACTCGTGTGCCCTTCGGCTCCTTAACTGTAACTGGCAACTGTAATGGCTCCTTAACTGTAACTGGCAACTATAATGGCTCCTTAACTGTAACTGGCAACTATAATGGCTCCTTAACTGTAACTGGCAACTTTAATGGCTCCTTAACTGTAACTGCAACTTTAATGGCTCCTTAACTGTAACTGGCAACTTTAATGGCTCCTTAACTGTAACTGGCAAATGTAATGGCTCCTTAACTGTAACTGGCAACTGTAACGGCTCCTTAACTGTAACTGGCAACTGTAATGGCTCCTTAACTGTAACTGGCAACTATAATGGCTCCTTAACTGTAACTGGCAACTATAATGGCTCCTTAACTGTAACTGGCAACTTTAATGGCTCCTTAACTGTAAGTGGCGACTTTAATGGCGCCTTAACTGTAACTGGCAACTTTAATGGCTCCTTAACTGTAACTGGCAAATGTAATGGCTCCTTAACTGTAACTGGCAACTGTAACGGCTCCTTAACTGTAACTGGCAACTGTAATGGCTCCTTAACTGTAACTGGCAACTATAATGGCTCCTTAACTGTAACTGGCAACTATAATGGCTCCTTAACTGTAACTGGCAACTTTAATGGCTCCTTAAGTGTAAGTGGCAACTTTAATGGCGCCTTAACTGTAACTGGCAACTTTAATGGCTCCTTAACTGTAACTGGCAAATGTAATGGCTCCTTAACTGTAACTGGCAACTGTAACGGCTCCTTAACTGTAACTGGCAACTGTAACGGCTCCTTAACTGTAACTGGCAACAGTAACGGCTCCTTACCTGCCGATACATGGCAACTGTATCGGCACGGCAGGTAAGTCTGAACAAGGGTACCACTAAGGTAAGGCTCTTCGGTTATGAGCTCCCCAAGTCCTTAGTGCCTGTATCATAACAGAAACTGATCCGTGATGCCTTTCTTTTGAGCCTTCAATCGTGCATTGACTTCTTTCAAGTGATGTTATGTTCCCATCACGTGTCACAACATCGCACATCTCAAATCAGACATCACATCACACCTACCACAATCCACATCCCACATCACAAATCCCACATCAAATGCCCTTCTTTCCCATGCTTTTTCTTTCTCACACCACCCGTGCCTCTCTTTCACATGCTCTTCCTTTTCCCATGTCTTCCCACACCCATGGGTGTGTGTGCGGGTGGGTTCCCCTTTGCCTCTCAGGCTCGTTTGACGGCTGGCAGTTGTGCCGCCGCTGCGACCCGCCCCGAGCCAAGCCCCCCGGTGCGCACCACTGCAGCAGCTGCGGCACGTGCGTGATGGACATGGACCACCACTGCCCCTTCGTGAGTACTTGATTTTTTTTTCCTGGGTTCTGTCGTATAAGTCCCTCTACCATCGCTATCTTAATCATTGCAGCAGCTGTGGCACGTGCGTCATGGACATGGACCATCACTGCCCGTTTGTGAGTTCCTTCTCCACTAGGTCACTTGTGACACAAACATCACCATCAGCATCACCATCAGTATCAGTATCAGTATCAGTATCAGTATCAGTATCAGTCTCAGTATCAGCATCAGCGTCTCACTTCACTGCAGCAGCTGCGGCACCATCACTGCATTATGGGCATGAACCATCAGTGCCCCTTCGTGAGTGCCTTCCCTATTTTTGTTTAATTATCGACGCAAGCATCGCCATCACCACTGCACAGCAGCAGCTGTGGCACATGCGTTGTGCAGCTGTGGCACATGCGTTGTGCAGCTGTGGCACATGCGTTGTGCAGCTGTGGCACATGCGTTGTGCAGCTGTGGCACATGCGTTGTGCAGCTGTGGCACATGCGTTGTGCATACGAACCATCACTGGGCGTTTGTGGATACCTGCCCGTTTCGTTGGTAGCATCCCAATGTTCATTAGTGCAGCAGTTATGGCATTTGTCAGATAAGGACATGCACGTGCATCATGGACATGCACCCTCACTGCACCTTCGTGAGTATCGTCCCTTTTAGCTAACGTGTGCTTCGTCACTGACCCAAACATCATCTGTGCCTCTCTTCTATCCTTCACATCTCTCCCTTTCCTCCACCTCCCCCTCCGCTCTCCCCTTCCCACCGCTCCAGATCGGCAACTGTGTGGGTCGGGCCAATCAGAGGCATTTCCTGCTCTTCCTCCTCTCCACCATCATCAGTTGCACCTATGTCGCCCTAATGACTGCAACAACGCTCTACCTCCTCCTCCCCGCAATCGACGTCACGCCTCACATGCCCCACAACCCCCCTCACGACCTCACCTCTTTCGTCTCCACCGCCACAAAAGCTTTTGCCGCTGCCCTTTGGGCTGCCCGAAAACAACTTCCGATCCGGGCGTACATAGCGTTTTACCTCTTTATAGTCGCACTCGGCACAGGGATTTCTGTCTCGCTGTTACTGTACCAGCAGCTGGACTTCATTCTTTCCGGAGAAGGGGGTTATGTAGATGCATTAAAGGCAAAGAAAGGAGCCGGAAATAACAAGGTGAAGTGGGATGGGCCGAAAAGGGTAGTGCCAGCAAGAGTAGTAGATTCGAGCAGGGGAGATGGGACTTGCTGGCCTTGTGGGAATGGGGTCTGGTTGAGCTTGTTCAATCGCTCCGGTTTGGAGGTGTCTAGAGCTCTGAAGGGGGTGTTTGGATCTGGCAATCCCTGGTTCTGGTGCTGTCCTCGTTTTAAAGCCCCTAGAGGGTCGCTAGCAGCAAATTACAATGGGGTTAAGGACCTTTGATGTTTCTACTTTGTTTTCCATTGATTAATTTAAGATGGACAGCAAATGTATATAATTATCATTTCACAATCACAAGCGCACATGGTAAGCGGGTGAACAATGCGTTTAGTAAAAAAAGCAATGTTTACAATTCTTGCTGGAATTGTACCGTCATACCCTGGATATACCCCCCAGGCCTACCGTATGTTCCAAAACAATGCTGGAAAATCAGCCCTGGTTCTTAAAAAAAAAAAAAAAAAAAACAATCTCAGCCATTTTTTAACCTAAATCAGCCTTTTTTTCGCTGACCCACCATTTTTCCAGGTTTTTTATACCCCCACCTGGGGGGGGTATATCCGGGGTATGACAGTATCTTTTGAGAACTTAGGCTTAGGAGGTAGGTATCATGGCGTGAGTAGCGAGAGAAATTGGAAAGGAGATTGTTTCAATTAAGGCAATGCATGCCAGATATAGGGTACCGTACTAGCAATAGTTAACTAATAACTAACTAATACACTAGCAGAATATAGACAGTTATGATAGTGAAATATAATTCAACAATTCTGATGAACAGAATGTCAACAAATGAGAATGGGGATTACAGCATGACAGCAAGCAAGATTACACTTAGGAAACCCTAACGTGCAAATGTGTTGTTCCATCTTGGTCATCTTCAAAGTGGGGGAGAGAGAACTTATGAAAGAAGTGTACACCCTCTCCCTGACTGAAGCCCCTCGCCACATAACATGCCTTCAAAACAGGCGGCGATACAGGTGGCTGCTTCACCTTGAAAATCAACATGACATCGAATACGTTCGTCCCATGAGGGGGAACTGCGTCGACGTAGGTGCTTGTGAACCTCCAAGACGCCATCTCTGCATCCATGGCTGCTATCCACTAAGATGCCCACTCACCTGTGACTACCTCAGTGTAGGTACAAGGACTCGGGATGTCAAAGCCGCCCAGGTCACCCTCAGGAGCTAGCAGTATTGCACAAAGGTGAGGAGCAGCGGGCAAAAAGAAAACCAGATCAAACTTCATGTCCTCTAGGACGTCAATGGCAAAGGCAGGTGCACCCCTGGCGGACGTACAGATTGAGTAAATAACCGAGCAAGGCGGTGGCTGGAGGCAAAATCAGTGACACCAGTGACAAGTGCCGAGACAGACGAAGGAGGAGCAGTAGGGTCAGTGACAAGAGAAAAAAGGACATGGGAGACCGTAGGACGAGCGGCATAGAAGATGTATGAGAACGGAGGGAGGTTTAGTGAGAGACGACAGAGGAGGGGAGGGGATGAGAGGAGGAGAAATACGAGGGGGAGAAGAGCAGAGGCCCATAGAGTGAAAGACAGGAACAGGGGATGAGGGATGACCACGAGGGTCACAACGAGTAGTCCAGGCGGAAGCGAGATGAGACATGTTAGGAAAGAGAGGAGGAGATGGCAGACGAGGAGGACAACAATCCGGAGACGAGTCCGGGAGAGGCAATGGGGTGGTGGGGGGATGGTTAGTCGAAGGAAAAGGAAGACCAGTCATCGGGGGCGACGACAGTCACTAAAGTTGCTGCTGTGGCGGTGGCAGCGGCTGCTGCTGCGGGTGCTGCTGATTCTGGTGCTGCTGCGGATATTGCCGCTACTGCTGTTGCCGTGACACCCCCAGGGTCCGTACGTACCCCAGTAGAACCTCGAGAGCCAGCACCTATAGCGTCAAAACCCTCAAAGCCAACGCTTCCAGCGTCAGCACCCCCAGAGAAAACGCCTCCAACATTAGCACCTCTAGAACCAGCAGACCCAGAACCAGCACCCACCAGCACACCCACCGAGTACCCCTAGTTTCCACAGTGATCGGCCGTTGCAGCGCTTGGCCCTGCTGCGGCGACTGCGAGGACAAGGCTGGTGACAGTATGGAATGCGGGGTGACGTGCGACAGACTTGACGAGGCGGAACGCGGGGGGAGGGGAGCTACCAGAAGTGTGGGACCAGGTGGGGGAGGGGTAGTGAGGAAATGGGGAGGGACGGGAACCGGGGTACCTTTGTGGGGGAAACGAGTGTAAAAACACATGGGCTCGTCAAAGGTGACGCCACAAGAGCTAAAATAGCGGCGGGAGGAGGGGTGGTAGAACAGCCAGTCAGGAGTCACTAAGGGAAAACCAAGGAAGATACAGGAGACAGTGCACGCTGACAGCTTATCCGCACGAGGATCGCGGACTTAAGCAAGACAGCCCTAGATGCGGAACGTAGACGCAAGAGCAGATGTCCCAGTCTAGAGGAGGGTCGGAGAAACCTGTGAGCACGAGGAACAGGGCCACAGGCTAAGGTGTTGCACGATGTAGTGGATTGCAAAGGGCCACAAAAAATGGGGGGCATCTGCATGGCACATGGAGGTACGAGCGACCTCCACGATTAAGCAAATGCGTCGTTCATCGATCCCATTTTGTGGCGACGACTCTAGCTGCGAGTGTCGAAGTGAAAGGCCCCGCCCTCGCTTTGATGCAGCCGATCTCGCCGTCGACGGGAAGTTTTCGACGGAAGTAGTGGTCGAGTAGGCTCTGCCCGACGGAATTTGGTCGTCATCGTCGACGAGCAGCGCTGGTCGAAGACAGCGGTCGAGGAGGCCCGTTGAGGAGCGATGGTCGACGAGCCCCGTCGAGGAGCTCTGGTCGAAGAGCTCCGTTTGAGCTTGCGTCGAAGAGCTCCGTTCGAGCGATGGTCGAAGTGCTTTGGTCGACGAGCTCTGTTCGACCGAGCAGGGTCAAGTTGTTCGATCGGAATCGCTGAGGTGTGCAAAATTCTGCGGAGGTGTGCGAAACTTCGCCCAGGAGGTTTTGGCGAAGTTCGACCTGCGGAACGGCAACACGTGGTCGACGGTGCGCACCTGGCGAAACCGATGACACGTTTTCTACCTGGCACCTGCGCAATGTGCCTGACGGTGAAACCGTCAACCTGCACCTACTTGGTAGGTGCGCACATCTACGCTGATAGACAACCTGCGACTGAAGAAAGTTACCTGCGACAGCAGATAGTCACCTGCGACTGAAGTGCTGGCAGACCGCGCAGTGCAACGCTGGCAGACTACTCTGCTGCAACATTGGCAAGCCGCTCTTCTGCTGCGCTGGCAGATTTCGCCCTTGCTAGGTGTTGCATGCCATTCTAGTCCTTTTGTTCTTCATGCCTCAATTGTACTATCAACCTTTCAATGCAAGTTGTTATTTCAACTTCCTAAGTGGAAACTCTTGCAAAACTTCTCTGTGAACACAAGCAAGAATTAAGAATGCTAGTGCAAGCTACGAACACTCGCACAACCCCGTGCCCTCCTTCGTAGTCCACTCCCGTTGTGTAGTGACTCTCCGCATGGTGCGGTGAGCGTGGACGGCCCCGCGTTAGACCCTTCAGATAGCCGACTCCTGCGTTCATTACCTAAGTTGTTGTAGGCCGGCAGCCGTCTTAGTCGCCATGGTCGACCATGTAGTCGAAGCAGGCGTAGAAGATACCCTGCAGGCGAGAGAGGCTGGTGTTCGGGCACGCCACGAGGCTGGCGGGTACGGTGAGGCGGACTTGGAGATTTTTCTCCTTGGAACTTGTGCGCAGTGGGCGCGTGAGCACCTCCCTCCCCGTACAGAAGCGGA